CGGACCGCTGAAATGTGTCATGTAAATAATCAATTAATTATGCATAGATTAATGCAACAAAGTCATCATGCACGTTTATTTCTGCAATATCATATATACTCAAGTAATCTTTGTTTCTGTAGACTTTTGACATTGTAGATTGTCAAAGCAGCATAATATTCATGAAACGAGAGTTAAAAAACAAAAACACATTTCAACCCTTACTCCAACCCCACAGGCTATGGTGTCAGAGAAACAAACTTTTACCAATTGATAGAAGTGAAGCACAAACCTTTGAGAAACCAAGATCAGCCAGGGTGCCAGAGTTCCCCTCTGGTCAAATGTTTTGGGCAGATCCGCAGTCTGGACATGCATTATTTATATATATATATATATATATATATATATATATATATATATATATATATATATATATATATATATATATATATATATATATAGCTAGCATTGAGCAATTTACCTCCTAAAATGTAATCCATTATAGATTACTTGTTACTGGTATTTCAAAATAAAACTTTTGTTCAAAGACAAAGAATAGCTTGCAGTCTCACAGTCCCCCCCCCCCCCCCCTTTTTAAGTTATACTTTAGGCACAGTGTCTTGCGTTAATGTACTAATTACTAGAAATGATCAATAACTAATATACTATAGTATAAATCTGAATTTTTTGTTTTCATATTTGAAGAGATTTGTATTGAGTTTTACATTTAATGATCTTGCTAAACTAAATAAGAAAATAACTTTTGCATGAACCAACTTGTGCTGTATATTCATATACAGATATATATATATATAAATTAGACAACATTGAATGTTTATTAGGTTCATTTTATGAAAAAAAAAAAAATTATTACAAACAATGTTTATTTGAAATGTGTCAATGCTATCACAGTTTATAGAAAAAAGTGCACAAGCATAATACATTTCCATAATTTTCTTTTCATAAATTTCGAGCACAGACACAATCATATTAATGAGAACAAATATCTTCTTTATGAAACAAACAAGCAATAAAAAAAGTCCACATCCCATAAACAATTCATTTTAATTCTTATATCACACACAACCTTGAATATCAAATTAAAAACATACCTGTTCAGATCAGTCATAAATAGAAAACAAAGCAACAGCAACCTTGACATATTTAATGCCAATAATGAACAAGAAAACTGCAGTTATACATCAGACCAAATGAAAGAACCTTTTTGTGAAGCTGATAAGGCATGGCACATTATACACCCGGTGAGGGGAAACAAATCAGCGCTCTGAAGGCTGTGTGTCCTCATCTAGAACCAATAAATCATCATTTAAAAAGACATTCTTGTGGAAAAACAATGCAAAACTGGTGGAGCCCCAAACTAAAAACATCCCGCAACAGAACTTTGGTCTCACAACATTTGGCACTTTGTGCGAAGACAGAATAAACAAATGTTTTACAGCAGATTGTATATACTTTAAACATACAGAGGACACATGCTTCACATACAGTACAAACAGCATGCATACACGCGACATCATGCAAACACACACACACACCAATCAACCAGCCCATAACAGCTTAACAAACAGTTAGTTACAACAAATGTAGTTCTTTCAGTCCACCTCTATCTACTAAAGGCACTGAGCCATCATGCAGAATGATCGAAAGAGTACAGACAAATAAGCGTGGCACTTTTTTTCAGGAAAACACTCAGGGTTTGTTTTTGTTTTTTTTCTTCTCAGGTTGTTTCCTACATACTGTACATTTTAAAAACATATTAGACAACATCTGCTTAATTGCAAAAGACGTGAAAATAGCTCAGAAGTTTTAAAAACATCACCGTCTAGCAACTTAACCATTCAAAAGTGGAGTCAGAAAGACTTTTTAAAATGCTGCAATTATTTATTTAAAAACACTGTAAAAATGTGATGTTTATTACAGGTCATAATAAAAAGCTGTGCTGACACTTTTGGTCACAATTCATGGTATTAACTAACACTATACCAGCTTAATAAACTTCTAATTAGCCGTTTAGTAACATTAGTAGAGCAGAAGTTGGGTTTAGGTATTGGGTAGGATGATTAGGCATGTAAAATAAGATCATACTTCAGAACTATTGATATACTGTTATTTATCAGGCACGGGAGTGAACAAAACTCAAGCGAACACAGAGAGAGATCAAGTACGTGCGAGAGAGTACTCAGTGTAACTGTGAGCTCTTTGGCTTGCCATAACTAATGATCAATAAAGTTTACAAACAAAATGGTGCCAATACCAAAAAACTGTGTTTATTTTATTTATTTACTTATTTTATTTTTTAAGATTCACGCACGTTATTGGCGTTTGAAATTTTATTAGCACCATTTAATGTGGCATTTTTATAAATAGTCTAATTATAAACTCTTTGGATTGCCATACTGGTCTCTCTCGAGCGCACATTCGGTCTCTCTTGCGCATACTTGGGATCTCTGCGTGTGCTTGCCTTTTGTTAGCTCCAGCACCTCATAGTTAATCACCTAGTCAAGGGCATAGCAACGGGGGGGTGCTATACGTCCCCCCCTCACTTTTAGAGCCAAACCATTTAGAAACAGGTGATAATTATATGAATGCAAACCTTTGGATCTCACTCAGCTTTACCCCCCTACTTTTAAAATGTCCGCTTCGCCACTGCTTTTAATAATAGGCAGGTAACAAGTAGTAAACAGCAAGAATCGTGACCTAAACTACAGTGTTACCGAAATTGTTTATTTAAAAATTGTATAGTGTAATTCTTTAGTTATAATAGATTATATACATGTTCTCATATTGGATAAAATCATCAGCTTAATGAATGAGCAGAAATATATTAAGATTTTTTTAATAAAGAATGAAACATTTCTCATAATGACCAATGCTGGTACTAAATATTTGTACTTATTTACATAATATTGTTAAGAAGTAAGAACTTGGAAAGTTAAAAAAGCAGTAATAAATGTCTCTAGTGTCACTTTTGATCAATTTAATTGCTCCTTCTCTGAATAAACAGCACTGATTTATAAATAGAAAAATCTTTCTGACACCAAAATGGAATTAAATGGAAGTGCAGGGATGCTCAAACTCCTGCATAGTTTAGCTCCATCTTCCTTCAACACACCTGCATGGAAGTTTTTTGTATACCTAGAAAGAGCTTGATTAGCTGCTTGGGGTTGAAACTAAAATATGCAGGACACCGGCCCTCAAAGACTGAGGCTGGGCACCCCTGCTATATAGAATACTAAAATGTTCAATCCTCAATTGCTTTCTCAACACTTTTTTTCAGAAACTGATCTCCACACAGGCAGCATAAAGCTTCACATTCATGGAGAAGAAACAGCTATTAAAAGTAGATTATTGCATAGGACTGTTCAAATGAGTGCGCACACACTCGTATTCATAAAAAACAACAAGGTATGGTGCAAATTAGGAGGCCGCTTAAAAAAAAACTCAGTTTCTCATGATTTAATGGTTATTTAGATATAGAATAAAACAAATATTAACATTTAACTTAAATCTATAAGTGTTTGATTAAATGTTATCCAAATGTTGTCATTTACAGCACTTATTTTTGAGAATCAGGGTTATTCCAGCAAATACACTGCAAAAAATGCTTTTCTTACTTGGATTTTTTTGTCATTTCTAGTCCAAATTTCTAAAAATTTCTAAATCAAGAAAAAAAATTCTAGGTAAGCAAAATGTATTGTCTTGTTTTAAGGTAAAATACTAAATATTGGCATATTATTTCTAAAAACAAGCAAAATAATCTGCCAATGGGGTAAGCAAAAGAATCGTTTGTCAAAAGGAAAAACTAGATTATTTTCTTACCTTATTGGCAGACTATTTTGCTTGTTTTAAGGAAAAACTCACTTAATATTGGCATATTATTTCTGAAAACAAGACAATGTGTTTTGCTTGCCTACAAACCTTTTCTTGATTTAAGAATTTTTAGATATTTGGACTAGAAACAAGACACAAACTATGTACGAAAATACATTTTTTGTCTTAACGTCTGAAGTTTAAACACTGGAATGGTGTTGTCTGAAAATGAATATAAATGCATGTGTGGAAAATTTTATAGCTTTATATGACGACATTTTTATTTGAAATTTGTCCAAACTCGGTCCAGGAGGGCTAGTATCCTGCTGAGTTTAGCTCCAGCTTGCTTGAACACACCTGCCAGGAAGTTTCTAGTCACTTCAGTATATCTAAGAGCTAAATTAGCTGGTTCAGAGGTGCTTGATTAGGGTTGGAGCTAAAATCTGCAGGACACCGGCCCTCCAGGAACAAGTTTGGTGACCCCTGTTCTAAAGCATACATGTAGGTCTCTAACTGGATTCCTGGAGGGCCGCAGCTCTGCACAGTTTCGCTCTAACCCTAATCAAACACACTAAACTAATCACAGAGTTCAAGACTACTAGAAACTATCAAGTAGGTGTGAGTTGGAGGTGGCTGGAACTAAAATCTGCAGAGCTGCGGCTGAGTTTAAGACTTGTTCTAAAGGAACTAATGATTTATCATAAAAAACATGAGAGAATTTTTCAGGCGGTCTCCTAACGTTTCCCCCATAGCTGTTCTGGTCATGTTTCTGTATAACATCATGATGGATACAGCTAACGAAACACTCCATTCACTCTATAACACTATAGTAAAACCTGTGAAATAACTGAATATTATGGCTCAATATATGAAGGTGCAAAGAATACGGAGATTTCAAAAAGGCACAATTTTGAATGATAATGCTCTGAAGAAAACAGCATCAATAATACTCACTACAATCCACCTGAAAAATCACCACGGATTATGATTTTCAGGCTAGATGGATGGAAAAATGGATGACATATTCATTTCCTCCAAGTGAAATGACCTAAATGAGCTTCAGTACAGCAAATATATGAATAAAGAACCTTGTTTGTAATCTTTAAAACCGTGGAATGATACAATCAGAAGGATAAGACTTGTGTGCAAGAGCGTCCATTTGTGTTAGCATGACTGTTTGTGTTCCTTTTCCTCACCTTTTCACTTTTCTCCATCATTTTAAGAGGCTGTTGAAGCGTTTCAGAGTCCGGCTTCATCATTGTTTGTGTGTTGAGTCTGTCGGCTGCTGGGCTCAGGGGAAGCATCCACGTGTGCTCTCTGATAAGTCAAACCTCTTCTTCCCTGACTCCGCCGTCTCTGTCCTGGAGAAAGTCTCTGACAGACGCTCATCTAAAAGTGTTTAGATCTTTTAGTTAAAGGATTTTTGCATTCGGTGAAAAAATAAATAATGATAATGAAGATTAAAAATTCCCGAAAGACAAAGATAATAAATGTGTCAACCAAAATTGTTTTAGAGGGCAGATGTTATTGATTAAATCCAGTGAAATATTTTTCTTTCAAAGTTAAATCATTTTCTCAACAAGGTATTTCATTTTTAACAATAACTATACATTAAAAAACAACCCTGCTGTAAGCACATGCATGATTAAATATATTATTATTATCAGTGATTGGAATAACGGCACTATAAATAAACAGCGTTACTAACAGGTGATACTTTTTTCAGTAACAAGTAATGAAATGAGTTAACGTTAACGTGACAATAAATGTGCGTTACTATAATTAAGAACACTGGAGCGGTTTTCCAGCAAGCAGCGTCTTTCTGAGTCAAACTGTATGACCTCTCTTTTTCTGGGCTGTGTGTGAGTGTGTATATTTAAGGCTGGGGCGGGACACAGAACATGACCAACCAGTGATGATTATTGTTGTACATGAATGTAACTGTAGTGTGAATGAGAATGTGATGATTGGCTTAGATAGAGCAGTAGTGTGGGTGTTCATGTAACCCCACCGGTCCTACATCACCCAAACACGCTTCTTCACTAGCTGGCCTCCGTAACACTCACACACAAGCTCACGCACACAGTCAGTGGCACACACCAATGACCAAGAGTCAGAACGATGGCAAATTCTACAAGTTCAAAAGGTAGCATTGGCAAACTGGAAATATAAAGCACTACTTTTCCCCTCACACAGGTGAAAGACGAGAATGTTTATCGTGCAACTTATCGTACAGATAATTCTAATCTAATGAAGCACCTAGTAGTCGTAGTCATGACGTAGTCATGAGGCTACAAAATTAGTGGCTACACGAGGAAACGAAGCCACAACGTCAAAGCAAATAAAACTCCACTGCAAACACTTATTACTCAGACAGAACTAAACCAAAATAATATCTAGATATATAGTGCTGCCGTTGTCTCTCACATTGTCCCAAAACAACATTAAAATAGTGTATATCACTCTACAATGTTTTATATTTATTTTAGTCATTTGACAGATTAAAATTGTGTTTAAAGTAAGGCAATAGTTGCTTTCCCCAGTAATTAGTTACTTTTATAATGATGGAACTCAGTTACTAACTCAGTTAATATTTGTAAGAAGCAACTATAACTAATTACTTTTATAAAGGAATGTACCCAACACTGCTTAGTATTTTATTACTTTAATTTATTGTGACATTTGTTCAGAAAAAAAACTACATCCCCCATGATACCTTAAAAATAATTTTCACTAAATCAAGAGACTTGCAGTGATAAAAGCCTGGCATAAAAGGGTTTCCGACTTGTGTATTGTATACAGCAAAACTATTAGTTTAATTATTTATATGCAGTTGAAGTTAGAATTATTAGCCCCCCTTTGAAATTTTTTCTTTTTTCAATATTTCTCAAATGATGATCAACAGAGCAGGGAAATTTTCTCAGTATGTCTGATGATATTTATTCTTCTGGAGAAAGTCTTATTTGTTTTATTTCAGCTAGAATAAAATCATTCTTAATTTTTTAAACACCATTTTAATGTCAAAATTATTAGCCCCTTTAAGCTAAATTTTTTGATGGTCTACAGAACAAACCATCATTATAAAATAACTTGCCTAATTACCCTAACCTGCCTAGTTAACCTAATTAACCTAGTTAAGCCTTTAAATGTCACTTTAAGCTGTATAGAAGTGTCTTGAAAAACATTTAGCCTAAAACTAGATTAAAACTATTATGTTTAAGAAATGTGTTGAAAAAAAATCTTCTCTCCGTTAAACAGAAATTGGGGGAAAAAATAAATATGGGGGCTAAAAATTCAGTGGGGGCTAATATTTCTGACTTTAACTGTATATATTTACCAAATGATGTTTAACAGAGCAAGAGTTCAGCCATTAAAAGGCACTTTAACCTGAATACTAATATTTGCAAAATAACCATTTTCAAAGTTAAAAAATAATTCTCAATAGCAAATTTGATGTCTAACAAAAACAATGAAATAGTTTTTGTCTGTGCCATGACAGTAAATAATGTTTATAGAAATGAGTTATTAAAACCTATTCTATTTAATAATCTGCTTTGTTTAACATCACTTGGGAAATATTTGAAAAATAATGAATCTTGTTACATGAGGGCTCATCATTTTGCCTTTAACTTTAATAATACACAGTGCTCAGCATAACTTTTGAAAATAAATCTTTGTATCCACTTCTCAGTGAACATGGGTAATATATATTGGTGCATTTGAACAAAACAGATTTATTAAACAGATATATTTATTAAAGCACATTAAATAATACATTAAAATTCATGCAACATATTGCTAAATAGAATTACAAACTACAACATTTCAACAAAATTGTTATTATTTTTGAAATTTTTATTTATTGTTTTTCCTAAAAGATACTTTTAGGCTACTAATTTTTGAACCGTTAGTGCGAGTTGTTTTGTTAGATAAGCTCCAGATTTGGCTTCAGTCGTGACCTATCTAATGTATATGCACAAATATAATATTATAAAGCATCCTTTAGAAAATATTAATTTAAATAGGAGATTTCTGAGGGTGTACTCATATATGCATGCATATATATATATATATACAGTTGAAGTCAGAATTATTAGCCCCCTTTAAATTGTTTTTTTCTTTTTTAAATATTTCCCAAATTATGTTTAACAGAGCAAGGAAAGTTTCACAGTATGTCTGATAATATTTTTTCTTCTAGAGAAAGTCTTATTTGTTTTCTTTCGACTAAAATAAAAGCAGTTTTTAATTTTTTAAACACCATTTTAGGGACAAAATTATTTGCCCTTTTAATCTGTATTTTTTCTTGATAGTCTACAGAATAAACTATTGTTCTACAATAACTTGCCTAATTACCCTAACCTGCCTAGTTAACCTAATTAACCTAGTTAAGCCTTTAAATGTCACTTTAAGCTGTATAGAAGTGTCTTGAAAAATATCTAGTAAAATATTATTTACAGTCATCATGGCAAAGATAAAATAAATCCATTATTAGAAATAAGTTATTAAAACTATTATGCTTAGAAATGTGTTGAAAAAAATCTGCTCACCGTTAAACAGAAATTGGGGGAAAAATAAATAAGCGGTCTAATAATTCAGGGGGGCTAATAATTCTGACTTCAACTGTATATATATATATATATATATATATATATATATATATATATATATATATATATATATATATATATATGAAATCACATATATATCTATATAAATAAATTACAATAAGCTTTGTTTTATGGTTCATAAAAATAACAAAATTCCAGCTTTTAAATACTGTAAATGTGTGTTGAAGCAAGTTGGAGCAGGACACCGGCCCTCCTGGACCATCCTGAACCCCAACCCTCTCTATTCTGCCGCCCTAGACGCGGATATAACCGAGGGCGCGGGTGGTGAGGGTAGTGTTGGGGACGCGGATATAATTGAGGGCACGGGTGGTGAGGGTAGTGTCGCGGGCGCCGCCTAATCTATTCTGACGCCCTAGACGGCCGCCTAGGTCGCCTCTATGGACGCGCCGGCCCTGCCCCTGACTTAGCCCTTAATTTGCATTTGTTTGACTATGCATTTCAAATTCTTTTATCAATCAATTTGCATTCTAACCCAGACTGTTCCTCTTACCTCTTTATCCATCCCTCGATCCTCATCGTCAAGCTGAATAGACTGCATAAGCGAAAACAAATCCATCCTGCCACTTCTGCTCGGGCTGGACGACACCTAGATAATCAAGTGTTGCAATCATTAAAATAACAACCATTATTTATTACATTATAAAAAATTTTTTTAATAATGTTCAAGTGTAGTGAAATATCAGCCTCTTTGCTAACCTTATCACTTTCCTGTATAGAAAGAAACTGGTTGGATGTGGCGGATTCTGCCTCTCCAGTATCCAGAACATTCTCACACATCTGTTCAAACACCTGAGGACAGAAATAAATAAACTCATCAAGAAATGCAGATAACCTTCATAAAATATTTGTTATATGGCAAATTCCCTTACATCAGTGTCCTCCTCGCTGCTTTCTTCATCTGGACTCTGCGATTCCTCCTCCTCTTCCTCTTTCTCTTCATTTTCATCCCCTGTCGCTTGTTCGTTGTGTACTGACGGCTGACGGGCATCTGCTTTGGACTTCCTCCTCCAGAGGGCACTGTGGCGCTGCTTGCTGTAAACAAACAATGCAGTGTAAACTCTAACTGTATATTTTCTCTTTTTTGCTATACTAATAAAAGCTTTTTTGCAGATTAAAGTCAAAATTATTAGCCCTCCTGAATTCTATTGTTTCAACACATTTCTAAAAATTATAGTTTTAATAACCAATTTCTAATCACTGATTACGGTTTTCTTTGCCATGATGACAGTACATAATGTTTGACTAGATATTTTTCAAGATAAAATAGAAGTGTTGCCAGATGTACAATAATTATTGCATTTGTACGATAATTTTGACCTCTGTACGATCAATAATAATTAAAAAAAAATCTTTAATGAATGATAACTTCAGAATTTTATGGTATTTAAAATTATTTTTATTGTAATCTTAGGGCTTCTATACTTATTGATCTAGCTACATCTTTTGTCATTGTCTCTGAGGAGAATGTGGAGTTACACGTTTTCAATCTCATCCTATGTTACATCTTCTCAGCCAGTCAATGTGGAGAATGGCTCTTTCATCAGTTAACATTCCTGCCGCATGCGGTCATGCTTAGATCAGTAGTTTTCAGGATGAGATCGATCAATTAAGAAATAAAGTTAAAAAAAATTAGTGCTGAAAAGGAAGTGAGAAGCACAGGGGAGTTTGCCCTTCAAGTTCTCGTTTCTCCCCATTTAAATGTGGGTTTTTTATAAAGTTAATCTCATCAAAACAAAGCCACAAAAATCGGCTCATTACAGATAATCTGAATGGGTATCACACCTCAAAGTGTGCTAAAAAATTTGGCAGGGTGCACTGCTTTCAAGCCAACCAGCACTTGTGGTCCATGAAGAAATCCAAATTGTACTACAAAATTAATCCCTCAACATCTGGCAACACACAAGTATCCAATAACAGCAACTTGGAGGTGGAACCTTCCCACTAAGGTATGGCTTTTTTATGTATTATGGTAATTTGCACATTGTTTCAAAACAGTTCACTCAAATTTAAAGTATAATACTGAAAGTTAATTTTTAATTATTCTTTTAATTATTTTGTTCTTTTAATTTAATTATTCTTGAGGCCCACCTGCAGGATCAGGGAGGCCCACTACTGGTTGAGAATCCCTGGTCTAGATAATAGCTGTATACTCTCTGTTTGACTCGTGTATAATAATATTCCTTCAAATACGATAATTTTGAGGTTCTGTTTAGATACTTTGATATTTACAAGCTGGCAACACTGACCAGTAGTCAGCTTAAAGTGCAATTTTTAAAGCTTAACTAGGTTAATTAGGCAAATTAGGGCAAATCATTGTATAATGAACAATGATTTTTGTTTCTGTAGAAAAATCAGGGAAAAAATGCTAATTTTATTAACCTTAAAAAATTTAAAACTGCTTTTATTGTAGCTGAAATAAGACAAATAAGAGTTTCTCCAGTAGAAAAAAATATATCAGACATACTGTGAAAAGTTCCTTGCTCTGTTAAACATCACTTGAGAAGTATTTGAAAAATAAAAACACAGGAGGGTTAATGATTTTGACTTCAGCTGTATATTTCCAGTTTTATGCGACATAGTTCTCCTGTGACAAAGTTGGGGAAAAAATGGCTAAACTAAAAACTTGAGGGAAAAAAACAAAGTGTGCACATGGTTAAACAACAAACCACACTTGACATGTCTGTACCTGAACGTGTCTATTGAGACGCTACACAAGTACTTGTTGATCTATGAGAGCTTAAGTCACCTGGCGTTGAGGATGCCGCTGTACGTGTTCAGCTGTTTGAGGAAACCTTCATTGGGCTGCACAATAGGCCGTCTTTCTCTCACGTGGTTGAGTGCCTGATCTAAAGTCCAGCCCTGTTGCTTCATCAGGAAAGCAATTACTGTGGAGGCAGAGCGAGAGACGCCCATCTTACAATGCACCAGGACCGCCTGTCCACTCTTCCTGCACCAGCATGAGAAAAAGACAACAATGTCAGCATGAGGTAGAGGGCAGTAAGACATACTAGAACATAATCAGTGTGTCTGTCTGTCTATCCGATGCAATTCTCCCAGCTATTCTCTTTATGTCACAATAACTAGCCTACTAATAATTACTTATTATCATTGTGGTAATATTTGACCAACAGCCAATACAGGCAAAATATCAAAATAGCCTTCATTATGTCCCAGTTTGCATAATCCTGGCAGTTATAAAAATATATAAATACACGCACTCAAGATGAGCCACCATTTTCTGTTCATTTCGCTTTCACACAAACATTAATTTCATTTCTTTTTACTTATGTTTCTCTCTTCTTTTTCATTCTTTAATAACTTTCTTCTTTAAAAATTTTCTTGTTTTTTTTATCATTTTTATTATTTGTTTTTATTTTTATACTTGTTTCTTTTATTCCTGTTTATGTAAAGCACTTTGAATTGTCACTGTGTATGAAGTGTGCTATATAAATAAATGTGCCTTGCCTTCCCTAGAAGTATAATGTTTAATCTGGATACTAAAAAAGGATAATTCAAGATTATTAATATATATATATATATATATATATATATATATATATATATATATATATATATATATATATATATATATATATATATATATAGCAATTCTACCCAGTTCTTGGAATGAGCCGCCAACTTATCCAGCATATGTTTTACACTGTGGATTCCCTTCCAGCTGCAACCCGGTACTTGGAAACATTCATACACACTCATATACGGCAACATGGGGAGAAAATGCAAACTCCACACAGAAATGCCAACTGACCCACCCGAAACTCGAACTAGTAACCTTCTTGCTGTGAGGCAATAGTGCTAATCATTGAGCTACCCTCAGATTATTTCAATATTTATAAATAATCTGTTTATTAACTTTTTTTTTTATAAACTTAAATCCAAGTGCAAACCTACAAATTGCCAATAACAAGCCCAAATAGTGTGTGTGTGTGTGTGTGTGTGTGTGTGTGTGTGTGTGTGTGTGTGTGTGTGTGTGTGTGTGTGTGTGTGTGTGTGTGTGTAGCACCTTGCTTCATTGATGAACATGTATGTGTTGTTCCAGTGTGACAGCAGGTCAGTCGCCTCCACATCATACACTCGAATATTCATATAGGTGAAGCATTCTGGGAAAAAGTTGTCAATCTCCATGGTAACATTCAGGATGTAGCCCACACTATCAAAAACAAGTGTTTTTAATTCATCTTCTGCATAAAACATAAAAATATGACTTTATTTAAAGGGGATATATGTAAGAAATAAGACATAAAATATTATGAATACCAACACAAACACAAATTTGTCAGCCGCAGTTTCTTTAATGGCTACTAAATAAATAAATAAAACTAAATAAAAGAGGCTATATGTAAAATTATTATAGTCCTAATAATCAACATACTTGTTCTTCTGTAGTTCTTCAAAGTTGGCAGCGTTCCATTCTGAACCCTGAAAAAAAAAAACTAATGGTTCAACATATCCACCTTTTTCTGCACATGACTACTGCATTTCAAAGTATGGGTTGCACTTCCTGTTTGGAGAGCTTTCATTTAAAAGAACTGAAACTGATCATTTTGTTTGATTTCTGGTGGGACACATTGGCTTAATCATCACTCACCAAGTAAAGGTAGTCCAAGATTCTGGAAGGTTTGTCCATCTGTGCCATTGTGACCATCATCTCGTTGTCAATATACTCCTTGTAGTCCTTCATGTCGATGCCTATTCTGGATTCCAGAGATGTTCGCACCTGCAAACACACACAAACACACACAGGGCTTGTAGCTCATTCATAGAGACTAATAACAGAGACCATAGGTCTGAGATACAGATTGCATTAAGTGGCATGTCACATGATATAATAATGCTTAAGAACATTTAATCAAGCTGCTGACTTGGTAACTGCCTGAATGTCATGCCACAGAGATTCTCTGGATAAGACAACAAGCCCAGGCACATTAACACTGAGTGAGTTCTGGAGGAACGGGGTCTTTAAAAATGTGTCTTTAGACTGTTGTTCAGATGTATCGTAGGTCAGAAAGTTTTTTTTTTTTGGAATGGATATATATGCTGTATGTATTCAGAACAGAAATGCTAAACAGGCAAGGTGACATTAAAGACTTTTAAAGAGTTCTAATAGGTTTGTATTTATTCACAAAATGATATTGTAAAATGTTAAATGTTTTTAAAGCAGCACAACTGAACTCAATATTCCAAATAGGAAATGCGAATTGAGCAGCAAACATGTATATTAGTGTGACCTCAGAAAGATTATGTGATACTTAATGCTGACAAATCTCAATTTTCCAATAATTAAAAAGAAATATATACAGTAAATACCTAAATGGTAACAATACGGAAGTTAATAATACTGCAGTATTTTTGGATGACTTTAAAGAGGTCACCATAAAGAAATCTTGAGCACACCTTTGAGTGAGCATTTTGAGTTTATTGCTATATCAGCTTCTCTGGCTATGTCATGGCAAAAAAATACATAAATAAATAAAAGTTTACCACATTTTATGAATATCACTTTTCTATAATTGTACAAATATTTAAACAATTAAAAAGCCATCAACAGCAATAAATAATACACAAATAATCATAATGATAATATGGAATATTCAAATCTAAAAGGTTTTTTTTAATATATATATATATATATATATATATATATATATATATATATATATATATATATATATATATATATATATATATATATATATATATATATATATAAATATTGTACAATTTTACAAGGATTCACAATTAAAAAAAAATTTAATTTTAAAGTCTCTGTAGATAAATGTTATTGTTTGATAACATTAAAAAATAGGGCATTCCACAAGAAGATGTTTAACAGTTTGATTTCTGTTAAAATAATGACCTTTAGGGGTTGTAAACATGTCTTGAGTAAAAAAAAAAAAAGAAAAAAAAAAGGATTTTCTTCCTTTTTCAGGCACTGAGCACTCATTCCATTCAGAGCACTTATTTCTGCAGGTTTCTTAAGGTCAAATTTATGACTTTTAAATACCTTTTAAGACCAATGTTAATGACATTTCAGACTTTTATGGGGCTCAACACTATAAGGATATTTTTAGAAAAGGAATATATTATGAAAAGGAATAGAAAAGATTTTTACTATCCTTAATAAAAATTTTTTTTAAAAAGTCTAATTTTGCACTTTTTTAACATAACATTTCCAGGTCAATGTTCTCGCCAGAAATAAATGGAGAACTTTTAAATAAATATTATTGTAAGGAAAATAATTCAACTACATCAGTAAATAGAGTTAAAAATGTAACTATTTGTTAAAAGTTCTATTACGATGAACTGCTGGTGATCGAATGGTTTTGTCCTGAATAAGCAGCCTTTCATGGACATTGGAAAATTAAGACCTGTTTAAAATGAAATAAATCTGAAGGTGGGATTTTGCACTCCTTTATCTTTCTTGTTAGGGCTTGCACTCCTTTGAAAACCAAAAAACTATTTAGTAAAACTTCATAATACTGAATTATTGAGGGATGGGCAACAAACCCAAAAATGATTAGTTGTTATAATTATTAGTTATAAGAGATATATAATATACATAAAAACATACATATTAATGGCACTGTATGAGAGAGCTGTCGATTTAAGACCAGATGACTCCCAACACTTTACTTTCAATTTAGACATAATGAACAGTGCTAAGATGGGCATTTTGACACATAAGAGTGTATTTCACCACTGACGCACAATAAGACGCAAAAGTTAATTGAATTCAGTGTGTGCCGAAGATGCCATTTGCCAGTCTCATTCGCAGTTTGGTGTGCTGTTACTGACTCATCAAACACATCCTGCATTTTCTTCACATTCGTCTGTGTTTCTCTGCTGCTCTATAATATGTATTAGCAGTCCTGTGCTGCATGGGCATATTTACATATAAACTGCACAGACAAATCTCCATCAATGGATATTATCATTGTCCAGTCCAACTGCACTTCTTTCGTTCTCCCAAACTACATTTTTAAAAAGCAGTCACTATTAAACATATTATAGCAGCACATGTATAAAGCAGTAAACATTTTTTTTTACATTACTGAACCAAAAACATGATTTTTGAAATAAATAGTACTTACCATCCAAACTAGAGTTGCACAATAATGGAATTCGATACCAATCGATACTGAAGTTTTAAAAACATCCATTTCCCGCTAACATTAGAGCGCTATTGAGTATTCTTAAACAGCGCTGATTTGCCGTTGTGTTCACATGCTCAACAGAAATATATGATTGGTTGTGAAGGTCATCAGTTCATCGAACCTAACTCTGTTTACTGAGTGTAATCACAGAGACACTGGAGCGTTATAAAGCCGCAATTCATCAGCAGATCTCTCATATGTCAGCTTATAGACAAACTAGCTGATCGACGTGACTTTGAAACGCTCCAGTGTCTCTGTATCTGTGGTTACATTTAGTAAACAGCAGTGAGTTTGGTGAATCGATGACCTTTACAGCCAATCACAGTCATTTCTGTTGAGCACATAACCACAATGGCAAATCAGTGCCGTTTAAGAGTGTGCTTGGTAGCGCTCAAATGTTAGCGGAAAATGGACGTTTTTAAAAGTTCAGTATCAATTGGTATCGAATTTCAGTATTGTGACAAGCCAAAAAATGCTGAATTCATTTGTCCATTTGTGTTGAGACAACAAGGAATTAAATGAACGTATTAGTATTTACATATCTAAGTGGATTGAACCTAAAACAAATAAGTTGTCCCAAAAACCCCTTAAGAATTGTGTTGTTGCAGCTCATTTTAAATTAGTTTGAACATTCAATCCAAAAACATTTTGAGTGCACTTCCATTTAATTTGCTTCTCTTTTTATTCACTGTTTGCTCGTAGTCAGGTAGAATAGGATCATAATATAATTGAATAATAATTCAAAAGTTTGCCAAGTTGTTAATTAAAAACAAGTGCATGATTAAGATTTTGCTTCTCAAAAGTAAGCACTTGCTCTGGATCACCTTAACAAAACAAATCAGTTTTTTTTTTTCAAAATTTTCCCTACGTCAACTAGATCAAAGTAACATGTTTGCAAATTCCCCACCAGCCGGGGAAGAAACGGCTGCTTGTGACAGCTGACCAAGAAGGGCAGTTGGCTTATAAAAGGAAAGGGTTTACAGATTGTAAGCTCCAAGTAGATTCAAATGAACCGCAAAATATTTCAAACGTGATGTGCATACTCAGAAAATGACAATAGCTGTGTCTCATTTCAGGTGAGTCCTTCGAAGTCCTCACAAGCAGAACCGAGCATTTTGAAATGAGACTATCCAGATCTCATCACCAGGCAACCATAACAGTTGCCATTAATAAGCGATAAAAAATCTGTAATTACTTTTTTCAGTGATTTTAAAACTTATTTTAAGCAATCTGAAGGCAAAACAAGGTTTAAAGTAGCTGGAGATAATTCCTTAGATCCATTCATATAAAACCAGTTTTTAGTAAGACACGTCATATTCTTTTTTGTTTTACATGTGTTTAGATATCCAAGTAAAATAAACCTAATTCATACATTTAATCCAGAGTTTTCTTTAAAAAAGGTCTTGCTGTTATGAGTGCGCAATGAATCTTGGGATGTTCAAGGCTGCAAAGGATTCACCGGTTGTGTCCTTCATTACCTCAGAAATAAAGAACGCATTGTGAGGCTGCATATGAAAGAGACTTTGAATTTTTATTAAAAATGAAACCTGCGATGACACTGCTCCCTTCGAATGGATCATTTGGAAGATGCAGCCTCTGAAATGAGGCTAACAATGTTTTCAGACCTTAGTTGTAATCAACAGAAATTTATTTATAAACTTATTACGAGAGGATCACATGCTTGTGATTGACACGGCTGGTCCCGCATTAGCTAACATATGATTCACCAATCAGACGATTCTTAACTTAGTATAAATAACCAAAGTGTCTTGCCTAGAGCCCGGCTCACACTGAGATTTCAGCCACGATTTTGTCATCGGAGACAAATTTGGGAAATCCTAAAAGATTCCAGAAATCCTTGGATAAAATCTGTGATCTTTGATCGGTGGTCACTTAGTCACTTAGCCACTTAGTGCTCGTTGCGATCAGATTTTCCCTCCGATGAAGTTCTGGCAGTGTCAGAAGTTTTGAGACACTTTCACGCAGCGTAACAACAGCTGGGATGAGCGTCAATCCAAGAACCAATCGGAGCTCCATATTCGATGACGCATTCCATATAGCAATTTAGATGACTGCGGGGAAATGTCAAAACTGTTTTTTTCTTCCTGGTTTTATTATTAAGACACGCCATGTGTCCTCATCATTTCAGAATGCGGGACAGTGAAAAAGTCACAGGTGGATGACGTCAAACTCCGGGAGAGTTTTCTTCCGTGTTTGGCGCATCTTCATTGTCATTCAGTCTGACTTTATGACAGCTGAGATCTTGCAGTGTGACATGGGAGCCATGTTTGTGCAGTCTGACATGCTATAATCATTCAGAATTATAAAAAAGCTCACTGTGTGAGCCAGCCTTTAGTCATCTTCGGCATGACTCCCTCTCCCCCTCTTTTCCCCTATACGGCAGCACGGCAGCCCTATGGCTAGCACTGTTGCCTCACATCAAGCATGTCTCTGGTTCGAGTCTTTACCCGACCAGTTGACATTTCTGTATGGAGTTCATGTTCTCCCAGTCCTCGTGTGGGTTTTCCCCAGGTTCCTCCCACAGTCCAAAACATGAGACATAAGTAAATTGACTAAACCAAATCAGCACCATACATGAATTTCAACCAGCAGAATATCCTCATAGCAATCCTAAACCAGCGGTGGGGGGTTCTTGAAATGTACCCGAACTTAAACTCTTCTCTCGCACTGCAAAAGGGAGGGAGCCCCGGGCTCGAGGATCTTATGAGCTCAGGGCTTTCTCCTGGGACAGCATGCCAAATAAGCTTTATTACCTATCATCAGCTATCTATGAACTCATAGTAGGTAACTACTATGTGATAAGTAATAATAATAATAATACGAGTATGAGTGATGAGTAATAATAATAATAATAATAATAATAATAAAAACACATAATAATAATAATAATAATAAAAACAAATAATAATAATAATAATAATAATAATAATAATAATAATAATAATAATAAATGGCTTTAAAATAATTAACTGATTAAAATAAAGTCAAAAGAAACCCTCCTCTCTTTTATTACCTGCTTTGAAGTAATGTTTTCCAAGTCCTCAGTCCTCATGATATCTCGTAGCTGGGCCTTGATCTCCCTCTCCACTGACTCCCTGTTCGACGATGATCTTCCACCAGTGTCTTTCCTCACCGACTCCAGGCCAGTCATAGCCCCCCATTCATTAAGGCAGAGCTGGTCAGATTCCACATTCTGTTTGTAAAACTGTGCCCACTCGAGGCCACTGCTGGGTATAACAGCCCCACGCACGGCCCGTTCACAACAGCCATGCAGTGCTTGCAGAACTGACCTTCAGAAAAAGGAGAGCAACATAGGGCAGAGAGTTGTGAACAAGCAATCGACAAACCACAAACACATTTGAAAGTCAGAGAGCACATCTGAAAAGCTTCTGTCTAGCAGTGCGCATGAGCTGGATGACTAAAAATCTGAAAAAAACAAAACAAAAAATAAATAAATAAATAAACACTTAAAAAGGTGGCTTTGTGAAGTTTATTTATAAACACATTTCGAGAGGATCACATGCTTATGATTGTTCACAGCTGTTCCAACTTTAGCTAATGACTTATTATCCCCGTGGTCGCGTGGGTTTTCCCTGGGTCCTCCGGTTTCCTCCCACAGTTCAAAACAAGCCCCCTAAACAATTAATCCAAAATATTTTAGCCAAACTTTGAGTACATCTTCTCAGCATCCATATCTGACACTTAGCTACAATAAGCAGGAGGGGGAGTCATCGAGATCTACTTGAGCTCAAACTCCCCTCTCGCCTTGCAACGGGAGGGCGCCCAGGGCTTGAGGATCTTATAAACTCAGGGCTCTCTCCCGGGACAGCACGCCAAACAAGCTTTATTAACAATCGTCAGCTACTGTAATTGTGAACTCTTGAAAAAGGGGTAGTTCACTCAAAATCAGTGGTGTAAAGTAACAAATAACAAATATTTAAATGACTGCAATCGAGTAGTCTTTCTCAGGAATTGTAATTCACCAAGTAGTTTTAAAAATGTGCACTTTTACTTTCCCTTGAGTACATTTTTAGTTCGGTATCGCTACTTTTACTCCACTACTTTCCTTCAACCTGCAGTCACTGCTACATATTTTCCTGTCTATAAGGATTAGAAAAATCAGTCCTTTGACTCCGGTCCAATCAAAAAAAAAAAAAAAAAAAAAAAAAAAAAAAAAAAAAAAATCGCACGTAGAAATGAAAATCAAATCATAATGAACTACCTCAAGACATGGGCAATTTACAATTTCAACAAACTGTTTGGAAGCATGAAAGTGTCCAAGAAAATGTCCAAAATCTTTACACACATTTCCCAGAGACCGTTTAGATCAGGGGTGTCCAAACTCGGTTCTGGAGGGCCGGTGTCCTGCAGATTTTAGCTCCAACTTGCCTCAACACACCAGCAAGGATGTTTCTAGGAAGCCTAGTAAGAGCTTGATTTGCTAGCCCAGGTGGGTATAATTGGGGTTGGAACTAAACTTTGCAGGACACTGGCCCTCAAGGACCGAGTTTGGACATGCCTGGTTTAGATGCATGTCACTGATGAAAAGATGACGAATGTTTACAGTATGATGACCGAAATGACCTTAAACATCCAGCAGGGACATCCAATTTGGAAATGAACATCAAGTTGACGTCAGAACTCAATATCAGATTAACGTCAATGTTCAACATACAACCTAAAAATCAACCAAATATCAATGTCTAATGTCTAATAATGTTATAGCTTGACATTGTGTGGATGTTACCACTAAGATGTCTATCAGATGTTAGACTTTGGTTGCCAGACCTGATGAATAAATGTCAGTATTTGACGTCAATATGACGTTGGATACACTGGATTTTGATCACTTTACGACATGTCCAAATGTCAAATGACGTCAATATTTGGTTGATTTTAGGTCATCAAAATAACATTGCCCTTAGATTCTGGTGAGAAATTGAACTTTGGTCACCTGAAGTCACAACCTAAATCTAACCTAATATTAACGTCTTTTGATGTTATGTGCCTTGGCAATAACTAAATGCACTACAGAATGTTACGTTTACACACATCCATAAAATACATGTAAATGCATCAGCTTTTTACAGTGTAATACCAACTATATTCACTCATACTTTGAGTAATATTTACAACAGAAACTTTTACTCTACTAGCACTTCATTTTTAGGCAAGCAATGGTACTTTTACTTAAGTATGATTTTTCAGTACTCTTTAAACCACTGCTCAAAATTGAAAATTTACTCAGCCTAAAGATGTTCCATCCTATATGAATTTCTTGAGCAAAATAAAAGGTATTTTGAAGAATTTCGGCTTCCAGAAAGTTGATGGTACAAATTCAACTGGCAAGCAAAAAATATATAAAAATATCTTGTGTTCAATAAAAGAATGAAACTCATACAGGTTTTGAACTTGAGTAATTGGTAAATACATTTTCATTTTGGGTGAACTCTCTCTTTACTAACATTAAATACTTACAAAATCATTTATTTACTATCTAACATGTTACTTTGGAAAATTCCTACATTTACTGCTAATGAGTTTTGCTCAAGGTTATTTGTAGGTTGATGGGGTTAACAGTATAACTACTGTTAACTGTAGTGTGCTGTTGGGTGGTTTTCATCCACTCTGGGGTGATTTTGAGACTTAATTTGGCAATAACGTTCTTTGTGTTTTAGCAAATGGCATTATTTTTCGTGACAAATCCTATTTTGACACATATTTTGAGAAAATGTTTGAACTTTTTCAAAAACTCAAAAATACCCTCTGGGCAAATTTACCACCCTTTCATTATGTTAGTGGCTGTTTTTGCACCCTTGACTTCCATTATAACAACAGTTTTTGATTGCAAAGCAATGCCAGCATATTATTGTGTATTCTTGATTGATGGTGGTTTTCCCAGTTAGGAAGAGGTAAATTTGCCTCTCTTTTTTGTCGATCATCAGTTACCATGCAAAAAAAGCTTAATTTCTGTTTTTTTATATGTAGTAGAGAGAGAGAGAGAGAGAGAGAGAGAGAGAGAGAGAGAGAGAGAAAGAGAGAGAGAGAGAGAGAGAGAGAGAGAGAGAGAGAGAGAGAGAGAGAGAGAGACCTTTGCACACTTACCTTGACATGTCTGAGAAAGTCTAAATAAACAGCTCAGCTCTCAGCTCTCAGAACATAGTAATGCATAGTAATCTAAATGGTTAATGGTGCCAATTGATCAATAGTGAAAATTGCACATTTTACCACTTCCCAACAGGGAAAACCACCAGCAATCAAGAATGCTTGATACTATGCTGGCATTGCTTTGCGATCAAAAAATGTCCTTATAATGGAAGTCAATGGGGTAAAAACAGCCACTAACATAACGAAAGGGTGGTCAATTTGAACAATGCACAAGGGTTAATTAAATGATTCAGTACTTTAAATTATGCACAGTTATGCAATTACAGAAATGTCATTATGTCTGGATTTATAGTTAACTGTTTGCAGAATTAAACAAAAAGTAAATCTCTCACACATATGCCTAGAAAATCCAATGCATCAAAAAAAAAAGTCACTAAATAGTTTCCATACCTTTACATAAATAATCAGCAAACTATTTCAAACGAGCAAGTACATAGCATTTAAAACCACCTAAGAACCAATAAGAAAAATAATTAATAAAAAAAAACAGCACTTTAACTGAAAACAAATGTAAGTGTGTGTGTCAAAGTCACACTGCATATCAGTCTAGTTTGAGGAAACTGGCTGTTTCTTCAGCGTTTCCTGCTTTGACGCTTACCACATCGTCTGAATGGACACAGGCTTGAAGATTCGTGTCACTTCTGCAGATGTCACACTGAAACCTCTGTAAGAGAACGAGCAAAACCAACTGTCAGAAAAGCAGAACTCTGGAGTTGAGGCTTTACAGTGCAAAAACTTCTGCAGAAACGTGCAGATAACATAGAATTGTTCTTTGAAGGACAGTTATTGTTTTATTTTTCATGAACTGACAGCTACCTTTACTTTGACAGAAACAACAGAAAGATTTCATGTGGTTTTCAAAGTTGGTTTTGATAATAAGATAATGATATCAAGACTACAGTTTCATAGTATTAAAGTTAAGATTGCTCACAGTTTTTTTTTCTTAGCTGTTAAAATTCTATTATTTATTCTTTCTGGCCTTACCCATCTCCATCTAGGTAAACTTGTGTGTCACTCCATATTGGCAAGACAAGGCCAATGGTGCACTCATCACTGTAAAAAAGTAAGAGAAAACTAAGTTAGGTTCCTGTTTAGAAGTATAGGTCACTCAAAATGAAACATGTTTACTCCTACTGAATGCAAAATCATTTGACTTTCTTCTGTGAAACATTAAACAAGACATTTGAGGAAATGCCAATGTGTTTTCCCCCCCATTGGAAGTCAATGGTTACCAAAGTTATAATATGAGGGGGAAAACGGAAGAGGGCAAGTAAACTATGATAGAATTTAATTTCTGTTTAAACAATCTCTTTAAAATCTGTAGTCAGGGTTTCTGCAGGTTCACTAAGTCAAATTTAAGACCATGAACAATGAAATTTCAGAATTATATAGGGCTAGAGGCTAAGGATTATTTAATGATTTAAGGATTATTATTTAATAAATTTTTATTTTATAAATGGATATTGAAAAACGAGCCATTTTTTGATTTTCGTTTAAAATTAAAAAATGAATATTAAAATGCGAGGTGTTTTTCTTTTTCATGGTGAAAAAACAGGAAAAGCAAAATTAAATTTTTTTTTTTTTTTTTTTTTTTAAATAAAAAAAATTAAACCACCAGAAAACAAAAATGAATAAAAACTTGTTTTTTATATTCCGAAACCAGATAGGCTTCATTCACATACAAACATACATACATACATACATACATACATACATACATACATACATACGCTTATTGCTTATGATGCCTATGATCGTGTTTTTTGAAACATGCTGTATATCATAATAAACAATTAATTATGTTTATTTTTATACTCAAACTAGAATGTGGAGAGATGACTTGTTGAAATGTTCAATGATTATAAACAAATGTGCAATGTTACTTTTACTCCTGAAGTGGAAGTGATTTTAACACAAAACTTTTTTTTTCAGAAAACTGTTCAGTAAAGCAAAGCAAATAATTCATATATCGTCAAATATGTTGTTCCATTAAAAATGCTGCCATGTAAAAAAAAATAATAAATATAATATTCAATTCAGTGCATCTTTAGTTAGAATAGCACTTTTACAATGTAGATCATGTCAAAGCAGCTTCACATAGAAGATTATAGTGAATTAAAACGGTGTCAGCCCAGTTTTCGGTGTCGAGTTCAGTTCAGTGTGGTTTAATATTCACTGCGAAGAGTTCAAACGAATCAGCTCCATGAACCATGCAAGCCAGTGGCAACAGCGGCGAGGGAAAAAACTTCATCAATTGGCGAAAGTGAAAAATTATATGTAAATATATGTATAAAAAAAAAAATATATATATATATATATATATATATATATATATATATATATATATATATATATGTGGTTCGGAATATAAAAACAAACATTTATTCATTTTTGTTTTCTAGTGATGTTATTTTTTGTTATTTGAAATAAGAAAAATGAAAATCAAATCATGGAGTTGAATGCAGTGCTTCTTGTACGATCTGAGACCCACTTCATATTGTATATCTAACAGGCAGTGAAGATCACAGATTTTGAATGAAATCAGATCTTAAACATGACTATTTTGTATTGGAAAGACCTCGGGCTGCCTGGCTGAAAATGAAAAATCTGTGTGTGTCATTTCTTTGCCACATATTTTAAATAATGTGTCAAAACAAGAAGAACTTAGTAGTATACATACATTTTTGTTCAACATAACTTAAAAAAACCTCTTAAAAAAATAAAATATTGTTTGCACAACAGACTACAGTTACAATATTAGTTATGAGTAGTTTTGCTAAAAGTTTTACCAAGATGTGCTGTTGGTGATAAGACCCTTTAAAATGATTTAAGACCAACAAGACAATATATTTTAGCGAATTTAAGACTTTAAGATGCTGCGGATACCCTGGTAACTAAACACTTTGAGAAAAAATTGTCATATAACTGCTTACTATATTCCAAAAACAAAAAAAAAACAAAAAAAATAAACAGGTACGTCATTTAACTGAACTATTAACTTTTATTTAATTGGAAATAAATCCAGAATTATAATGACACAACAATGTTATTTATAAAAGATATGCTACCTGTTTAAGCTTGGAAAGTCCATGCCAAGTAGCAGGCTCTCTTCTTTATTGTCAAGTGTACCAATTATAAGCAAATATCGGACTCGGACTGGCCTCGCTGACTCCAGACGCACAGCCTGAAACAGAAAGTCAGAATTAATATGACAGAGGTCTGAACTGGATCCATTAAAAATCATTCTAAATGGCTAGATAATTCAATCTCAAAATAGAACTCATGTAGGGCTATGTTAAGACATTCTGTTGTTTAGTACAGTGATTCTCAACCATGTGCATCCTTAACAAAAAAACAACAACCAATTCCGATCATTAGCTCATTAGCAGAGATTGAAATGTACTGGGTGTGACAGACAAAGGACACATCCAAAACAAGCAGTGCTGGTGGTCCTTCAGGAACATGGTTGAGAAACACTGCTTTAGTACACAGATTTACATACTGAATTATATCTGTGTTTGCATTTGCTCATGTATAAAGTCAAATGGCAACACTTTACAATATGGTTCAATTAGTAAATGTTGGTTAACGCATTAACAAATACAGATTAGCAACAGCATTTGTTCATTTTTGTTAAGCAAGTTATTGCTATTGAAATTGAAAGAACCACCTCCCTAAAGCACATTGCAGAACATTTGTTGCTAGTTATGCTAATCATATTACCAAACAAACATAGACAGTAAATGAAAGAACGAACACTTGTATTAATTCTTCTGAAACAAGCAATAGTTTGCTCACATAAATAAAAAGGCGTAAGGTAGCAGTACATTCGCATACACTGAGCCAAACATTACATTAATTAGGGCTGCACAATATATTTCAGCATCGATATCGCAATGTGCAAATCTGCAATAGTCATGTCACAGGATGTCAAGCAATTTCAAGTGTAGTTAAACCATTTGGACCAAGAATATTTTTTGCCACTTTTCCAAGATTAATTGCGTTTATTTACATGATAATTATATCATGGTATTTTACATTGGATTATTGAATTTCTGTAGGTCAATACTGTCAATACTGACTCTGTTTATTTAATTTCTATCTTTGTTCAATTGTTTTCATCTGTGCTTTAATTTATTTTATGATTGAGATATACATACATTCATTCATACATTCTATTTACAACAGTTCTGTCTGGTTCTCAAATCTGATTGGCTGATAGCCATGCTATACTCTGCAATATCAGAACATCAGTATTAGCAATTCAATAAACTCACTACAGTTAGACCAATATTGCTGCTGTTGAACCACATATTGAACTTGAGAGTCTTTTAGGCAAGAATGTAGTTGTTTAGATCGCAACTATGCAGTTTATTCATAAGGATAGTGCCTATTTTAAATATTTTTAAATTCTGAGATACAGAGCGTCGGAATCCATCAGCCTGTCATAAAGCAGAACAAAGATGGTTGACGTTCAGCCATAAGATGGCGACAGAGACCACATAATAAGCCCTTAGAGGAGAAAAGATTGGTGTATTTTCAAACTACAGCTGATCAAATCACTATAAAATTGGTAAGTGATTTTTTAAGTCGATCTCTCTCTCTCTGTATGTTGTAGTGTTGTATTTGTACCATGTAAATGTATTGTATTGAGTGTGACATGGGACTCTCATATCAGGAATGTATGTATTTTGTGTTGGCCACTCTTTGTAAAACCCTGAGTTACTTTTTGCTTGGCCATCTGTTTGTTTCTAATGAGTCTCCTGTTTTAGTTACGGCAGACCAGTTCAGTAAAAAGAAAGAAAGAAGAAATGGCCGCATATGTTTAACATTTTTCCTTATCGCAAACATACCAGTAATCTGGTAGTGATTGTGTCACTTTGGCTTTTTTGGGGTAATTATTGTGAAATCACAATTGCAAAAGAGAAATATTAGGAAAAGTCTCTAGATTGATGGCATTCCCCTTTTTTGTCATCACTTTAGACATTACACTAGAGAATCATTCAAATACTAGCTCCAAAATGATGTTGGTGAATTAGTAAGGTTTCTGCTGTTCTGGCGTCAGCTGCAGATGTGAATGAATGGCAGAAGAAAGTAGTCCCTCTTACGATAGGATTTTTAGACTTGTGTTTGATTTTATATACATATATATATATATATTTTATATGCCGTCGAACTGTCGTATAAATGCAATTTCACACAAGTAGCAGTAGTGCGATTTGGCTGTATATCATCACCAGTGGGACACTAACCCACCCCTTACACCAGTGTTGATATACAGCCACATCGCACATCATTGTATAACAGTAGCTTGCTCTGTAGACAATAGAAAAAAATATTGTCTAAGAGGGATTGACCGTAAAATGTTTTTCAAATTTTTTTAAACTGTTTTTATTCTATACGGAATAAAACAAATTAGACTCTGCAGAGGAAAAACTATTATAGGAAATACTGTGAAAAATTCCTTGCTCTGATAGACATCTTTTGGGAAGTATGTGAAATAGCGAAAAAATTAAAATAAATAAATTTAAAAAAAAAACATTTCACAGGAGGGCGAATAATTTTAAACCATTTTTAAATAAAAAAAAAATCCTTCTAAACAATGTAAAATTAGACATTCTTTGCAAATAGAGTCATCTAGTGAAAATATTCATACTGAAATATATTGTGCAGCTCTATTTGTGATTATAAAAATTTTTATCTATATTATATTCAGATTTTTTTTATGGATTGTTTCACGCATTATTTTACCACTTTTCTAGACTTTAATATAATCATATTTCTAGATTCATATTTGAGTGTGCAGGTTTATCTTGTGCCATCCTCACCAGTTTGACTGTGTCTTCAGGTCGCAGTAATGAAATCATTGCATGCAAATGTCTGCGTTGAGTGTCAGAAGCTTGGCCTCCGTGCCGAGGACCCAGACGAGGGGATACGGTTTCTTCTTGTAATCCCTCTCTCTCTTCTTCTTCCACCAGGAGCACGGCCCCTTTAACCAGGGCGAAACTTTCTCTGGTGCGCAGAAATTAAAGATTAATCAGTTAACCATTTCTGGATGAAATACGCATGCATGATTAAAGAGCTACAATCAAACGCTCACCTTTTCTGAAGTCTTCCTCGTCTGGGGATAGGCTCGTCCTTGAAAATAAAAGACAGCAGATTAAATTAGGAACATTAAAACTCTTAAGATTTACCCAGAGAATGGTGATGTTAAAAATGTGTGGTGGGTGAACGGATTATGTGATGCACTTCAATTGCAAACAAACACTTGTTTGTTTTCTACTGGACTGAATCGGTTGGATCATCTGACTCTATGTGTGCCCCACAAAAGCAAAGCTGGATAAAAGCTTGCACCTGGGAAGGGCTTGTCAGCCTTTTTTCTCACCCATAACCCACTCTGAGCTGAGTGATTGAGATGAAAATAGAAAAAAAGGAACCCGGATATACAATGACAGTGCATTTTGACCCCAAAAAAATAGTCAAGTGTAATGCAGCAGCAGTATGATAAGACACTGAGGAAGCACATACTGAAGGCGATAAAGTGAGAAACAGATAGCAAGACAGAGAAGGACACCGAAGAGGCTGTTATCAGTGCTTCTATGGAATGAAAGAGGAGACAGTAACATTACCTGTTATGTGACTGACGTGTCCAGACAGAGACAAGAAGAAACAGAAGAAAGAGAGGGTGGAAGAGGAGGGCCATTGAGGTTTTAGGTTAAACCAACTGCGAGGCTTTACTCAAAATAGTTACAGAAGAAGAAGATAGACATAGTATGCATGGGTTATGGGTGGGAAAAGGAATGTTGTGCTAGATAAATGAATACAAACCCAGACAATCAACATAAATAGAAAACGATTAAAAGACATTGTCCAAATTCCCTCAAAATATGGAAGTTATTCATTTTAGGGCCTTATTTTTGGAGCGGCGTGAAATGGATTTCATATTCAGTTTCACAGCACATTTTGGAAAGCCACATAGAAGACATTCCTCCTAATTATACATTAATTTTGCGTACAGAAAACGGTTTAGGGTAACATAGAGAGAGTGGGAGGAAGGTGAAGGAATGTGCGGAGAACTTGACGTTGACGCGCAAACATTGGAGAATTGCATTCTGCAGTATTTTGGAAAAGCATTGCATTATCAGATGGAATAAAACTCACCGGTGTTGTGCAAATAGACGGCGCTCTGTGCAGAGTCAGCAAAGCCATTCCACAGCCGGTTATCCTGCTTTAACACCGGCAGATGAGTTAAAGCAGCTCAACTGTTGACTAAATTGAAAAGACACAAAAAACAATGGAGGGGGAGAATGATGAATTGATGGTAACACATTTAAAGATGCAACACTGAATCAAATGCACAATACAACTAGTATAGAACACCCTCTTAGATTCTATTATTAACATCCACAAATGGGTTTGGGGATATGTAAATAAATAAAATCACTTTCTACATGACGCCATTGTTTGTTGGTAAGGTTTGTTTTATATATAGATTTAAAAAAAGGCCTGGCTAATTTGAGATCATACATTATGAATCATCTACAAACTACATGATGCCATAGGAGAGAATTTGTAAAAAGGCAGTGAAGTGGTGCGTCATTATGTAAAAGTAACAGTTGATCAAGTAACGGTAACAAATTGGCAGATCTAATACTTTCAGATTACATTCACACTACTTTATTTTTCAAATAAGTACTTGAGGCATTTTTGGACACATTCTTATATTACATGCATTCAGTTCTATATTTCTAAAATTTTATCAAAATAAAAAAAGGATGAAAATAGTAATACATAACGTTTAATTCACAGTGAAAATATGACAATATGGCATTTGATTTGATTGTTAGACTGAAATTGTTAGAAATGTTAAGTCATAATGGTCTGCCCTCTGTACTGGAACAGGACAAATCCTAATTTTAAGGGTATAATATAATATAATATAATATAATATAATATAATATAATATAATATAATATAATATAATATAATATAATATAATATAATAATATAAAATTAGATAATAATTATATTATTAGATGGATAGATAGATTGCATTCTGTACCACATTTCTAAAATTTAATCAAATTTAAATAAAAAGAATGGAAAATAATACTTAATGTATCTTTTTTTAATTCACAATTAAAATATGACAATAGCATTTGATTGTTAGATTGATTTTGATTGTTAGAACTGTTAAATCAAGACAGACAGACAGACAGACAGACAGAATCACCTTCATTGTCATGTCATTTTTTTGTGGTTAAGATTTGTTTTTCGTAAATTGCCTTGATGAAAAAGGGCTAGCTATATCATAAATCATACAAATACACAGTACTCACAAACAGTGTAGACAAAAAGTGGGTGGATCATCGACAAACTACATGATGCCATGAGAGAGAGAGTTGGTAAAAGGCAGTCAAGTGGTGCTAGTGGGTCACGTAACAATAACAAAATTGGTAGACATGTTCAGATTACCCTCACACTACTTTATTTTGTAAATAGGTACTTAAGGAAATAGACACATATTCTCATATTATATGCATTCTGTACCACATTCCTAAAAATGTTTTCAAATATAAATGAAATAGGATGGAAAAAAATACATAATGTATATCTTTTTTAAATTTACAGTGAAAATATGACAATATGGCATTTGATTTGATTGTTAGACTGACTTTAATTGTTAGAAATGTTAAGTCATAAGGGGCTGCCCTCTCCACTAGAACAGGACAAATCCTTATTTTAAGGGTATATTATAATTGATATAATATAATATAATATAATTAGATAGATAGATAGATAGATAGATAGATAGATAGATAGATAGATAGATAGATAGATAGATAGATAGATAGATAGATAGATAGATAGATAGATAGATAGATAGATAGATACCTTTTGGACAAGTATTCTCATATTACTTGCATTCTGTACCACATTTCTGGAATTTAATCAAATTTAAACAAAAAGAATGGAAAATAATACTTAATGTATCTTTTTTAATTCACAATTAAAATATGACTATATAGCATTTGATTGTTAGAACTGTTAAATCAAGACAGACAGACAGACTCACCTTCATTGTCATGTCATGTCATGTCATATTTTTATGGTTAAGATTTGTTTTTCGTAAATTGCCTTGATGAAAAAGGGCTAGCTAATTTGAGATCATAAATCATACAAATACACAGTACTCACAAACAGTGTAGACAAAAAGTGGGTGGATCATCTACAAACTACATGATGCCATGAGAGAGAGAGTTGGTAAAAGGCAGTCAAGTGGTGCTAGTGGGTCACGTAACAATAACAAAATTGGTAGACATGTTCAGATTACACTCACACTGCTTTATTTCGTAAATAGGTACTTAAGGAAATAGACACATATTCTCATATTATATGCATTCTGTACCACATTCCTAAAAATGTTTTCAAATATAAATGAAATAGGATGGAAAAAAATACATAATGTATATCTTTTTTTAATTTACAGTGAAAATATGACAATATGGCATTTGATTTGATTGTTAGACTGACTTAAATTGTTAGAAATGTTAAGTCATAAGGGGCTGCCCTCTCCACTAGAACAGGACAAATCCTTATTTTAAGGGTATAATATGATATAATATAAGATAGATAGATAGATAGATAGATAGATAGATAGATAGATAGATAGATAGATAGATAGATAGATAGATAGATAGGAAACAAAGCAAAACAAGAATGTAGGTGCATGCCTCGAATGCCTCTTATTTAATCCTTGACAGTCAAAGAGTAGTCAACCGTATTCGTGGAATGTTCAATAAATTGTCACCGCATAAATAAATTATGTAACGTTAACGTGACAGATAAGCGAAAATAAAACAGCCAAATGGTTCTGCTGTCTAAGATGGAGACAAGCCGGGTATTTGTTCGCCATATCCATGGCACTTCATAATAAAGCTTCTATCACCTCTGAAATGCCACGAGATATAAAAATATCTGTCGTATATGTGGAATGTGTGGTTGAAGCTGTACATAGCAGCGTAATAACGCGCCTTTGAGCGTCACATTGACAGTATGCAACACCTCATCTCAAGCTTTTAACGTTACTTAACGAGACAAACTTGAAACCTTGTCATATCAGATTCATCGCTGGCTTAAAAATGTGTCGATAAAGTATATAACATACCTATAAATCAAGCTGCTTAATTTGAAGGTCGGTGCGTAATGCTTGTGCAGCTCCAGCACAGCTGTGTTCACCAAGACTCGATGCTTGTCATTGTCAGTTCCTTAAGAAAAGCAAAGGAGGGCGGACCAAACATGGAGAGAGTTCGCTTACCTGATGCGCTGAAACGCGGCGAAATTATAAAGGATTCCCTCCTAACTGAATCTCCCTCTGGAAATCGCGTTAGTTATTTCAATCCTGTGACCACAACTTTTGCATGGGTCCAAAACACATTTAAAGGGGAAGGCAGCCTACTCTATCATGAAACCAGGAAGACTTATTCTCGGCCGAGAAAAGTAAATGTGCCCTTAAATGGAAGAGGCGGATCGGGAGTAATTCGCCTATTAAAGAGACAGACACACGCTGCTTGGCTAATCGGGGGACTGATCGGTAACGTCATTTCTTATAAAATACCCACACACTTTAACTGGCTCTGAATTTATTTCGACATTATATAAACAACAAAAACGTAAATGTAAAACAACACTGACCAACTAAAATGGGGGTTCTGCTCACTACTCCATTGTCTTTACCACATTAAATATAACTATTATAGGGGAAATAGTCTATGCTTTTAATTGACATTATTATTGTGAATATTAACATGACTTAACTAAATAAATGGTAACCCCATATCACCCATGTACTGCTACACTAGTAAGTAAGTCTGTCAGAAGGGAAATGATTGGGAATGGGAAGGGTTGGACAAAGCCTTTACTAACCTTTTGTTTTACTGTTGAGCTACAAAACAAAACAAAACTAACTGAAATGAAATGTTTCAATTAAATTTTGCAAATGAATCAGATTTTTTTTAAAATGTACATACTGTCATCAATAGGGGACAAAGCAGAAGACATCAGGGTGCAAACCAAGGCAAATGCAGGTTTAGCATGACTTGTGTATTCAGCATTGAACTCCATTGTCTTATAAATTGAATTTTGTTTATGCTTTTATTGTAATATGTTCGTTAAAATAATATATATTTTTAAAAAAAAAAATGATGCATTGGTATGGTTGAAGTATTATTATGAAATAATAAATTAGGAAATTACCCATTGCAATTTTGATGTAATACAGTGTGCTATATTTACTTTCAGCCCACAGCTCTCAATCAAGATTAGATTTTGGCCCTTCATAAGAAAAAGATTGGGCACCCCTGATCTATAGGTTGGTAAACTGATCAATCTGACAGAAACAAAAACAAAGCATTGGTAAATATATTTTCACAATGAAAACATGGACATTTTCGTGAGGGATGGTATACAGTAGCAAAATGCAACGTTGTGAAAAGTAATTGCTAGGAGGAACAGAAACAGGACATGTTTACATAATAATACTATTGTTTATTGTTGACACAACTAAATTTACCCTCATCTTGCAATCCTCATCTTTCAAAAAAACTGCCTTTCCAAAACTTGCATTCAGAATTCCTGTTAGTGTCATGTAAAGCTCTAGACCGAGGTAAAGTTAATTTGACGTTTGACATTTATTGGACATTCGGTTTCAAACCAGTTAAATTCTTTGCTCCTCTTATATTTTAAGACAAAAATATGTCAGATAGACATAAATAAGGCATAAATTTGAATATTTTATCTCAAATGGCCTAAGAGTTTAATTCATTTAAGTGTTTACAGTGTACCCGATATACTGAAAATATGAATTCATTACTGTATATAAAATCAACAAAGGAATAACTGTAAAAAACAAAGCTTGTGCATTATAGAGAATAATATTTAAGAATAATATTTAGACAATTTTAGAGCTGATTTGAATATTTTATCTCAAATGGTGTAAGAGTTTAATTCATTTAGGTGTTTACAGTGTATTCAAATAATGAACGAAAATATGGATTCATTACTGTAAATTAAAACAACAAAGGAATAACTGTATAAAACAAAGCTTGTGCATCATAGAGAATAATATTCAGACAATTTTACAGTTAATTTGAATATTTTATCTCAAATGGTGTCAGAGTTTAATTGACTTTTAACCATTGTGACATGTTATTTTGAAAAGTTATTTTAAAAATATGATAAAATAAATAAAGTGTTAAATCCAAAAACAGAGTATTGTGGAATAGCCAGGATGTTTTTCTGAAGATTTTGGTACTGGCCTTATTGTATAATATCATATGGTTGAATTGTTTAATTTATTCGTATGCTTAATTTTTTTTTATTATTGAGAAATTAAGCCTTGTGCAACATAAAGGGCACATCTTTATGTCTATCTGACATATTTTGGCTCAAATTATAACGGCAGTAAAGAATTTAATTGGTTTAAAACCTAATGTCTAATGAATGTCAAATGTCAAACTAACTTCACCGTGGTATGCTCTAGCAAGCATTCTGCATACTAGTGGGTCTAAAATATTTAATTCAAAAGTTATTTCCAATTTTCAGATTTACAGGCCACGAATGTCTAGGTCACAAATTTACACCATAGGCAGGGAGCTACCAATGACTAGGTCTCAAATGGAGCACTAAAACTCACACTGCGGGCTAGTGTAAAATATTCAAAGTGTGCCAAATGGAACATTCTGCTTAAAGGAAGAATTCTACTAAATACTCAAAAGATCTTTTACAAATATTGACACACTCCTCACACAATGAATGATGTGCAAACACTGTGCTCATTTAGTTTCTATGGAACAAGAAGTGACAGGAAGGCTGCATTCAAAATTGAACGCAGCTACTGTATACTGGACCTACAATCAGCTTGAATATGTGATTTCTGAATATGTGTAGGTCATAAGTCATAATGATGCTCGAAATGTGTCCAATTCATGTAAATAACTATAAAAACAATTACTAAGGTACTGTAGAGGTGATGAGACAAAAATATAAAATCTAAAGATGTCCTACAACAAGTTTATCTGTTAGCTAGTTGGAATTATGTTGGAATTTAGGCTATACACACATAGCTCAGCATCTTGGTGTTCTTAAAGGGCTTCATTTGCACTTACACTTCAAAATAAAAGCAATATATTTCATTAAAATTAATATTACAAATCTTTCCAAATGTTGGATATACAGTTCATTTATTTGTCTTGTGGAAAGCACGGGAAACACCCTGATTTATTCAGTCATTATCAAGCACTTACAAACTTGTTTGGGATAATTGAAATCTAAATCTCTAGTAAACGACCACAGTGCAGCAGCGCCCTCATCCGTCCTGCTGCATAATAACAATAGAAGAGCTGCAAATCCGACTAGTGGTAGAAATCTGTGCAGAGACTCCACTCGCATTTGAAGGTTTTACTGCGTGGGATTCACTGCTTGCAACTACTCTGTCAGAGTTAGTTATCCGAACGATTACTCTGGAAATATCTGAATTTATCTTGGGTTAAGTTTTTATATTAACATTCTCCGCTGGCATCCAATACAATGCTCAAATGTATTATTCTTTTTGTTGAGTTGTTCATCATTTATCAGGCTCTGGGTGATAACACTGAGGGTAAGACATCTTTATTTTCTCATTCTTTATATACACACTGAATTAAATCATGTAGAACTGTATTCTACACAAGCTTTCTGATTGGTTGTGTTTTTCGTAAAAGGCTTAATATGAAAAACAGCTGTGATTTTGTTTACTTTAGCATTATGGTTATGGACTATCGGGTCTTTTTATTTAGGATTTTTTTAGGATTTAATGAAACTAAACTCAGACGAAATAACTTTTAAACTTCTGGATGCTAATTATGTTTTATAGATCCTTCCATATTCTCACTGACACTCTCAATTACTCTCTCAATTACACTCTCAATTACAAATACTCTCAGTTAATCTGGGATGGTTTGGATTGATGAATGATTCACACTTCAGAGGAATTAGTGACGTGCGTTTGGCCAAATGAGCAGTTTTACCAAAATCACAGACATAAACATCTTCTTAGTTTTGTCCATTAGGCGTTTATTGTTACCAGAAACATATTATTAACATGCTGACTGATGTATGATGCCTATACTGTCCTGTAATTACAACCCAGTGACCCAGAAAATGAATGAGTGTGAGTTTAGCATTTGTGAAAGAAAGAGCCCTAATTTGACCTTTTAAAGGAAGAACTTTACTCCTGTGTAACCTTTGGGTTGACCACCCCTGAGGCGTAACAAGAAATAACAAAAAAAAGAGGAAAAAAAATCTTGAATATGCTACGAGATTGAAATGATTAGCCAAAACAAATGAGTTTACTCAAAATATTTATTGCCAGAGTCTTACATATTTACCTGATTAAAATTGGTTTGGCTTCTGCACAGTTGCAAATAGCTGAAATAAATGAGAACAACATTTTTCCCTTCACACAAACTGGAAAGTTTTCCCTTGAGGAACGGCATCATAATGTTTTCCAGGTAGAGTAAACCAGTCTGGGTATTGACAAATGTTGAGTCAAAGTCTTGGTATGTTACAACTTTATAGACTCTAGACAGCTGCAGTCAGTCTCTTTGAGGATGATTTCAGCATTTATACATTTAAAAAGAATGTATTTAAAATATGGCCATCTGTCCAGGAAGTTTCCATGTCTTCAGGCTTTATCGGCTGGGATGTGCTCCAGCATCCCTGCGACCGTAGATTGGACAGGCGGTTTAGGAACTGAATGGATGGATGTTTGAAATGAGATGCCGCAAGGCCTGGCAGCATCATTGCATACGGTTATCCTCTTTGCATATGCATCATTGGCGAAGATTCAGATCTTCTGTTGCTCAGACTTGTCCCATTTTCTTACAACTGTACAAGAAAACAGTGAGTTCTTAAATAAGAGCTTGTCTTGGTCCAAAGGAGACACCCTGGACAAGTGGTCAGCTCAATAACTGATAATCATTCCTAAAAACATAAAAAGTCCATTTCTTTCAGGGTTGTCACAATCATTGATAATCTGGAAAGTGGCTTTGTCTGCATGAAAACAAAACAAAAAACTTGATTCAATAAAGATATAAATGTTACTCAAATATAAACCTAATAATTTCAGAAACACTGAGAATAGCTGAAATAAAATTTTAAAGTAAAGAATTAAGTTAAAATAAATAAAAAGACAAAATTAATGCTTTAAATTAAACTAAACTGATATGGCAATAGGATTTTTAGACTAGGGAAAATAAAAAAATCCCAAAGATTTAGAATGAAATAATGTAATGGTGTATAAATAATACTACTATAAAATACGCTACACTTACTGGCCACTTTATTAGGCACAAATTACTAGTACCAGGTTGGACCACCTTTTGCCTTTAGAACTGCCTTAATCCATCATGGGATACAAGGTACTGGATATATTCCTCAGTGATTTTTGTCCATATTGACATGATAGCATCACACAGTTGCTGCAGATTTGTCGGCTGCACATCCATGATGCAAATCTCACGTTCCACCACATCCCAATGTTGCTCTATTGGGATTGGAATCTGGTGACTGCGGAGGCCATTTGAGCACAGTGAACTCATTGTCATGTTCAAGATCAGTCTGAGATGATTTGCGCTTTATGACATGGCGTGTTATCCTGTGAAATTAGCCATGGAAGATGGGTACACTAGTCATAAAGGGATGGACATGGTCAGCAATAATACTCAGGTAGGCTGTAGGTTTCTGACCCTACAATCTGAATGTCGCAGCGGAAATCAAGACTCATCAGACTAGGCAGTGTTTTTCCAATCTTCTATTGTCCAATTTTGGTGAGTCTATGCAAATTGTAGCCTCAGTTTCCTGTTCTTAGCTGACAGGAGTGGCACCCGGTCTGGTCTTCTGCTGCTGTAGCCCATTCGCCTTAAGGCAGGAAGTGTTGTGCATTTAAAAATGCTCTTCAGCATGCCTCGGTTGTAACGAGTGGTTATTTGAGTTACTGTTGCCTTTCTATCAGCTCAAACCGGTCAGACCATTCTCATCTGACCTCTGGCATCAACAAGGCATTTGCACCCACAGAACTGGATGTTTTCTCTTTTTGGACCATTCTCTGTAAATTTTAGAGATGGTTGTGCGTGAAAACCCCAGTAGATCAGCAGTTTCTGAAATACTCGGACCAGCCCATCTGGACCCAACAACCATGCCACGTTCAAAGTCACTCAAATCACCTTTGTTCCCCATTCTGATGCTCGGTTTGAACTGCAGCAGATTGTCTTGACCATGTCTACATGCCTAAATGCATTGAGTTTCTGTTATGTGATTGGCTGATTTGAAATTTGTGTTAACGAGGAGTTGGACAGGTGTACCTAATAAAGTGGCCGGTAAGTGTATCTCTTCCATAGACACTCAGCTCCTCCTGTTAGACATTCTCTATAAATCTCTGTTTTCAAAGATCCTAATCCAGTAAACACGGACGTGCAAACCCTGACTTGGCTGGATCTGAATTTGTGTGTGTGTGTGTGTGTGTGCAGACTCAGAGAGTTGCAACTTTTGGCAGATGTGTTTTTGGCATTTGCTGAAACAAGTTCTGTCCTAGCTTTCAGGTGACGCACTGTACAGTACTCAGCTTTTTATGTTTCCATTAACAAACTTCACAGTATATTTTCCCCTGAAATAAAAGTTTTTTATAGGCAACACTGACTTTGATAGACTTAAAGGTTTCCTCAAAAATGTCTACGCATATGAAACCAGAAAAAAAAAAGTGTGTGATTGGAAAGAATGATGATGGTGGTGGTTGTGCTTCATGGAAACAACAACAAGGGTGGTCGGGGATCTTTTTCTCTATGGCTGAGGCCGCAGGACACTGATGAGGCAGCTGATTTGCTGCTGTGATGTGCCTGCCAAACTTTTAGAAGATCACTTTTAGAGGACTTATTTGAGATCAAAGCCTAAACTTTTATATTGGCTTTCAGGCTCAGAGTTTTATCCTCATGACAGTGGTGAAGTTGTGCATCATTTATTTGGAAATCTAGGACCAGATTTTCTAAACAGGGAAAATATTTGGTGGAATGACTTTATGCATTGTGAATTGAAAACACCAAATACCATTTGTTATTTGTAAACAAATAGTCAAATTAAATAAAAAAATAAATAATTGAAATTTGGACAAAATGTTATCAACATTTTTGATTAAAACCAATATTAACATTTTACTCAAACCATACCTAAATAACTCAGGCAGTGAGTTTTTAAATGGTCTCTTTTTGTTTTTCTCCATTGCTTCATATAATAGATGAAGGCTGCACAATATATCGTTTTAACATCGATATTGCAATAAGTGCATCTGGAATAGTCACATCTTAGGATACGCAATGTTGAGGAGCCGGATTAGTTGATCAGAATCAAAAGGTCAAAACACATGAGATTTGTGGGGAGACACTGCAGAATTGAACCATAATATAGTAAAAGTTTAAAATGGTTATGATTTTAGGGCATTTGTGAGGATTTTAAGAGTTTGAAGAGAACATAAAGAAGCTTAATAAAGATATATTTTATTGAATTATTTATTTGATGAAGATTATGCAATGCTCTGTTACATTTGATCATTCAATTTCTTTACCGAATACTGATAGACTCTCCCCAGAAAACCATAAAGCACTGTTTATTTCACTTTAACATGTGCTCCACGGCGTTTATTTATGACTGTAGTTTGTTAATTATTTGTATATAATCAATTTCATAGAATAGATTTATATTATACTCCCATATAAAATCACCCCAATCAATCTAAAGTAATGGCTTTCCAAATACAGGGTGGGCCATTTATATGGATACACCTTAATAAAATGGGAATGGTTGGTGATATTAACGTCCTGTTTGTGGCACATTAGTATATGTGAGGGGGCAAACTTTGCAAGATGGGTGGTGACCATGGTGGCCGTTTTGAAGTCAGCCATCTTGGATCCAACTTTTGTTTTTTCAATAGGAGGAGGGTCATTTGACACATCAAACTTTTTGAGAATTTCACAAGAAAAACAATCAAGTGGATTTTTCACTAAATAATTTTTTTAAGGTTAAAATGTTTAAAGTTAAAATATAAACTGGAAATATGAGATTAATTATCATAGGCATTAAGAAATAATACAGTAGTGTATAAAATAATCGATTTTATAAAATATTTTTATTTAATAAATGCTCAATAATCTCTACAAAAGTTTGCTTTCAAGCTCAGCAATTACTTATGACACTGGTGAAGTTGTGCATCATTTATTTGGATATATAGGATCAGTTTTACAAAATAAGGAAATATTTTGTGGATTTTTTTTTCATTTAAATTAGCTTTTAAATTCACAATACTTAAAATTGATAAATATCTGAAGAAAAATCTGGTCACACTTTACAATAAGGCACTTTACATTGGTTAATGCATTTACTAGCATGAAATAATTATAATAATTATATAACTCGGACTCTTTAAACATTTAGTTAACCATAATTATTAGTGCTTTTGTTTTTAACTAATGCTTAATTGTAAACAAATTATCATTAGTTAATACTTAATTAATGCATTATTTTGGACCCTTAAAATAAAGTGTTACCGAATTTATAATACCAAAGTCATAAAAAATTCTGAAATCTCAAAATCCAAATTTTAGGCCTTAAAAAGGTCTTAAATTTACTGAAATATTGTGCTATAGGTCTTAAATCTTTTTTTAAACAGGTCTTAATTTTTCTTTGTTTATGTATTGCTACTCAATCTGGCCAAAACCCATACAATTACCAATAAAACATTAAACTTTTTATTCAAAAAGTCATTTTTAACTCTGTTTATCATAATGGTTTAATTATTGTCCTTACAGTAACATTTGTTTAAAAGTGCTCCTTGTATTTACTGCTAACAAAACCGACCTGGACAGATTGTTGTGCATAGATTTAGTTTATTGTAGTCTTTAAAACTTTTAAAACACGTGTTCATTTTATTTATTTATTTTTAAGTAAGTTTATGTTGGGAAAAAAGTGTAAAGCTTGATTTTACACAATATTTAAAATAGTTTGCTAAGAAATAAAATTTAAATATATATATATATATATATATATATATATATATATATATATATATATATATATATATATATATATATATATATATATATATATATTGTTAATGTAATTTGAGAAATGCCTTAGCCTTTAGCCCTTTATGAGTCTAAATTTAATTCATAATGGTCTAAAAAATGTCAAAAAAGTTTTAAATTGAACTCTGTGACACCTGCAGAAACCCTGTAATAATAGTTTAATGTTTACTAATGCATTATTAAAATTTTAAATTTATGATTGTTGTTATGAAAATTAGTTAATGCACTGTGAGTTAACATGAACTAACAATAACTGTATTTTCCGCTAACTAACATGAGCAAATACTGTAATACATGCACTGTTCATGTTAGTAAATGCAACATATTATAGAGTGCTGTTAAACTTGAGATAAAAAGCTTTGAAAGCAATGAAAATCACTACAAAATTACTAAAACTCAAATTTCAAATGTATACTGGAAATATATGAAAAAAACAAGCAAAAGAAATAATATAATAAATAAGAGATAATATAATATTGTATAGGCGAGGCAGTGGCGCAGTAGGTAGTGCTGTCGCCTCACAGCAAGAAGGTCGCTGAGTTCATTCCGCTGTGGCGACCCCGGTATAATAAAGGGACTAAGCCGACAAGAAAATGAATGAATAATATTGTATAAATAATACCTCTTCAAAAAACACCTCTATAAACATTTGCTTTCAGGCTCAACATTTACTTATCATGACACCAATGAAGTTGTGCATGAGGATGAGATTTACCACACCCCTCAGTTGGACTACAAACGTAAGTAGGCTCACAAATACAACCGACAGTATGTCTAAAAGCGAAGTCTACACTTACATTAAACCCATTTGTCTGGCAGATCCGCAGTGGTGTCATAGACTCAAGCTCACCAGCGGGGAGGTGTCCTGTACGTCACCTCGAGGAGGTCGCCACCACAGCACACTTGGTACTCGCTGCATGCTGTCCTGTGATCGTGGATATAAACGACTGGGACGATCATCAGTGCAGTGCATGCCGAACCGCCGCTGGTCTGGAAGTGCTCTCTGTCGAAGTAAGTCTACTTAAAAGGTAGCAAAACAATTAAAAACTCATAAGGGTGATTCAATAATTGGAGGTTTTGCATTTCAAGTAAAACAAATTGGAAAAAGTAAGTACATTTGTTACTTACTGTCAACATTGTTACTCTTACAAGGAAAAAAAAAACACTTAAACAACCCACTTTTGATGTTTATCTTTAAGTCTGAATATTTTCTCAGTGAATGCAAACATTGGATCGTATATCAATGAGGAACAAATATATATATTTGTTATATATATATTTATTAGGGCTGCATGATATTAGAAAAAATAGACTTTGTGACTTTTTACAATACAAATACAATTTCACCACATGATTTAAATAGCTCTATTTGGAAAATCATTACTTTAGACTGATTGGGATGATTTTATATGGGAGTCAAATATAATTATATTCTATGTATAAAAATCTATGTACATATAATAAACTAATTTAATAAATAAATAAACACAATGGAGCACATGTTAAAGCTTTACGGTTTTCCGGGTAGAGTCTAACAGTATTCAGGTACAGGAACTGAATTATCAAATGTAAAATTCTATAAATAATTCAATAAAATGCATCTTTATTGAACTGCTTTATGCTTGTTGTGCTCTTTTAAAATCCTCACAAATGCCTTAAAACACATAAACATTTTAAACTTTCACTCTATAATGGTTAAATTCTGCAGTGTCTCTCCACAAATCTCATGTGTTTTGACCTTTGGATTCTGATCAACTCTAATCCCAACTCAGCGTTGCATATCCTGATTCACAAATTGCAATATCGATGCTCAGACAATATATTGTCCATTTAAAAAATAAATAAATAAATTATAAATTATTTATTTATTTATTTTTTAAATGGACAATATATTGTCTGAGCATCGATATTGCAATTTGTGAATCTGTATTCTGAAATCTGAATCTGAAAAGTATAATCAAATATTTTGATCTATCAATAACACAATAACACACAATGGAAAAAATACACAAATTCAGACAACACAGAATCACATTAGTCTATTTACAGTTTTTCTCAGTCACTTTAGTACATTTCTCAGATCAGAATTGAAATTTTGCGAAAACAGTAAGTAAATTTCTCAAAACAATGTGTACAAATTGCAAAACACAGTGGATTACCTGCAAAAGCCAGTCTCTTGCTAAAATTTTTTAGTTCATATCTCAAAACTACATTTCTGTGTTAATACAAGTGTCAGTGTCGTCAGAATTAAAAGTCCTTTTGTCATTGTGTACGGATAAGACAGTCTTAGTTGTGTTGTCAATATAATAGTGTACTCTGGAGCGGTGTTCTGAAGTAAACTATTTTTTTGTTGTTGTTGCTGTTTGTACTGTAATCTGTTGGCAGATCATGTCAATGTGACACAAAAAGGAAAATACACAACACTGCATAGAACAAAGAAAAACATAAGTAAAAATGTGAACACTTCATTAGAAAAAGTCAAGATTCACTAGGGAGAAATATACAAATTCAGGACAGATTTAGATAATGGAAATGTATTGACCAATTACCATGTTTGTAAACATTCAGGATGCGTGCGCAGGGCGGTGGCAGAAAGAAACATGGAGCGCTAACATTTACTGCGAGGGAATGACATCTTATGCAAAAGACAAGGAAAGAAGACAGAGTTAACGTTATACAAGGCCTGGGTAATTACACGTAGTGTGAACTTACCGGATATAACATGAGAACTGCAGAGTCCAGCATTTTTAATTAGGTCGTCACTCGTCACTTCATTCAGCTCCCTTTAGCCAAAGACGTCTGCAGTTGGCAGTAAAGCAGTGTGGCGTATGGTAAAAGTTACGCTTTCAATTTTTGGACTTCGAATTTGGTATCCTACCGCACAACACAACATATTTACTATTGCAGCTGGTCTTTTTTTGCAACCGGGGACCCGTGTCACATCATGTGTGACATAGGTTGGTAATTGGTCTATAGAAAAATGCATTGTGACAAAATATTATGCCAGCTTGTTAAAGCATTTTGCATGTAAAGACTTATGCTATGAACTAATGCCTAAATGTTGTGGCAGTGAGACTATTCAGACAGAGACCATTATAATCCATTTTGATCAACATTACATAAGCAATTGATAACGTAGGAAACAGCAGAGTTCAAAAGCATTTGCAACCTGATTAAAGAAATGAGAATCAGCTTTTTTGATGTGCACAACTGTCACAATAATCTGAAGATTGAACAAGTAGTTTTGAGAATTTTAATTCTGATCTGGGAATTGGATTAAAGCGTTTGAGAAAAACTGTAACAAAGAAAAATCTAACATTAGGTCCCACTTAATATTAAGTGGCCTTAAATAATATGAAATTAGGCTTAAATCAGTGATTTGTTACAATGTATTTATTGTGTAAATACATGTTTTTACATTGTATTTATGTTTTGATTAAATTAATGTTTTATTAAATTAATTACATTTATAATTACAACACTGTTGACCATCCCTTATACCATAACCCACCCTTAAACCTACACAAATTACCAAATCTGTCCCTAACACAAAGGTAGTCTACCTTTGTGTTTATTTCTGACGTAAGTACCTAATAGTTAACTTCACTTTATATAAAATGGGACCTCTATATTTTATGGTCTGTAATGGACATGACAAGGCTCACTTCACACAGAAAGCAAATAATGACTTTGGACACCAGATGTACCTGCAATTATAAAATCCCTCACATAGTCCTTTGATTCTGAGCGAAGCATGAATTAAGCAGCTGCTGCAGTGAACTAGACCTGAATGTTGTGTTTATATTTTGTCTGAATCTCTCAGGGATACGATGCCAGGTTCTGTCTGTGATTGACCACGGTATGTACAGTTGTAATCGGGATTTTGTGGTGGACTCCAGGTGTGACTACACCTGTGATGAAGGCTATCAGATTGAGGGCGATCGCTACCGCTTGTGCCAAGAAGATGGAAAGTGGAGCGGCACAGAACCTACATGTACAGGTAGTGTAAAATTATCATTTTGAAAGTCCAAAAATTTACAAAGTAGGTCAAATTTATCAAAACAAAGGAAATCTCATAAAACAAAGCTTTAATCAGATTTTTTGAAGCAACTAGTCTGAACATGTTAAAGGCTATATAAATACTTCAGCCAAAAAAAAAAAAAGAAAAAGTTTGTCTTTTTTTTTTTTTTTGGAAGAACTCTGATTTTGGCTTAAATTGCAGTCCTTGATGATAAAAAATGAAAAAAATAATAATAATAAAACTCACTTGATGGCTACCAGCACTTTGAGAGTCAAAAAATACATATACAGGCAAAACAAAATTGATATCTGTGGCTCCTGATGATAATTTGAGATCTTATGAAGCACAACAATCTGTTACGTAATAAAAATGTACACATGTGAGAGAAAACACAGAATATACCTCTTATTCAGCGTACACTACACCAGAGATGCCCAAAGTAGGGCCCCTGGGCCTAAGTTAGCCCATGCTAACCTTTGATTTGGCCCACCATTCCATTTGAGTAGAGAGGGAGAATGATGAGCAAACATGATGGAAATCGTCATTTTGAATTCAATGCAACCTTTTGTTTGTTTGTTTGTTTGTTTGTTTTGTAATTTATTTTGTTTTGTAAATGAGTCAAATTTTTAAAAATAGAAATAGTCAATCGACAGATAGAGGACATTAGCAGGTGCAACTTAGTGTATTCAGCATTGAACTCTATGATGTTACTAACGGGATTGTTGATGTTTTTACTCTAATAAACTCATAATTTTTCACCGCATTCGTTAATATAACTCAAAGCAATGTTTTCTATTTATTTCTAAATATTAGGAAACAAATTAGAAAATTACTTATGGAAGTTTTCATGTAATACACTTTGGTTTATTTACCTTCGGCCAACAGCCATCAGCCAAATTTAGTTTTTCGCCCTTCGTAAGAAAAGGTTTGGGCACCCCTGCACTACACATTTGGTGTCAAAAGAATTGACAGATAGGTTTCAGATGCCATTATGCAATTATTTACACACATTTTTAATAAATCAGAATGTAACATTTGATTAAATATGCACTTTCAGATTATGACCCTCCCAAACTGAAATGTCCTTTGTCCAGAGAGAAGGTAGCAGAACCAGGAAAACTAACCGTCATGGTTTCCTGGGATCGTCCTGTAGCTAAAGATACCGCTGACCGAGCATTACGGTATGTGGATCACGTTTTATGCAAGACATTCCAGTTCTTTTTAAAGAGACCACGTTGCTGGCCGTAAATGATCTTTTGGTAATCTCTCATTAGGGTTTTGCGAAATGGACCAGAGTCGGGATCTGACTTTCCTGAAGGAACACATGTGATTCGATATAAAGCCTATGACCAGGCTGGCAACATGGCGACCTGCAAGTTTAATGTGCATGTTGAAGGTAAAACCAGTATAGAATTGTGATTTTTATTCGAAATTTGACATAGTGTGAACTAAAACACGAAGAGAGGATGTCCCATAGAGTTGCTTCTTCCCTTTTTAAAAAAAACAAACAGCCAATAGCGTTTAGTTTTTCTCACAGCTCTGCCAGTGAGAGCAGTTGAGCTCAAGCACATCAAATGAAAAGCAAAAGAAAATTGTCTTGAAGGGGGCGGGGCATGTCAGATACTAGACAGCATTTGATTGGTTTAAGTTTTGATGAAAAACAAAAGTATGACGTGTTTTGAAAAAATCCATTTCTGCGGAAGTGACAAACTGCAAGCTTGGGTGTTTATATCTTATAAATGTGAATTTGTCACCAATTTAAAGCAAACTAGACATCCGTAAGAATAACATACTGATTGTTACATCTAAAAAGCTTAGATGAAAACACTGTCATCTACTCATGTTGATCCAAATTGCAACTTTCTTTACTCTAACCAGTTCCTCAGACCAGTTTGACCTTTTTTTTTTAAATATTGAGGGATGGATGAAGGTTAAATGAAAACACAAATATTGAACCAAATATTGACAAAAAAAACATACATATATATATATATATATATATATATATATATATATATATATATATATATATATATATATATATATATATATATATATATATATGTGTGTGTGTGTGTGTGTGTGTATGTATGTGTATATACATATATATATACATATATGTGTGTGTGTGTGTGTGTGTGTGTGTATACATACATACATATATATAAGACTATATATGTATGTGTGTGTGTGTGTGTGTGTGTGTGTATATGTATATATATATATATATATATATATATATATATATACATACACATACACAGTCTGATGGTTTACATGTCTTTATTGTTTTTTTTTTCTCTCTCTCTCTTAGTGAGACGCTGTCCAAAGCTGAAGCCGCCGATGCATGGTTATCTGACATGCTCATCTGATGGGAATAATTATGGGGCTATATGTGAATACCACTGTGATCCTGGCTTTGAAAGGACAGGTTTTGTGACACGTGTTTGTCAGCTTAACCGCAGCTGGTCTGATGAAGCAGCTCAGTGTGTATGTGAGTATGTGCTGTTTTATTATTATCATTAATTAAATATTAGCAATTTAAATAAAAAAAAATCATATATTTAATATTTTTATGTATTTACACACACACACACACACACACACACACACACACACACACACACACATTTTATTAATTCATTTATTAATTTAATTCTGGTAAGCTTTAAACAGAATACTCCATCTACTTTAATGAACAAATGTAATTGTATATACATAGAAATCATATTAAATGCAAGTTAAGTGACTAATGCTTTAACCCTTTAACTGTCTCTTCATTTTTGAGTTTAATGAGATATAGTCTGTCAAGATAAGTTCAGGTTTAGACAAAATAAATAAAACAAACGTTTACATACATTTATATTGATATACACTCACCAACACTTTATTAGGTACACCTGTCCAACTGCTTGTTAACACAAATTTCTAATCAGCCCAGTTCAAACCGAGCATCAGAATAGGAAAGAAAGGAGATTTAAGTGACTTTGAACATGGGATGGTTGTTGGTGCCAGATGGGCTGGACTGAGTATTTCAGAAACTGCTGATCTAATGGAATTTTCACGCAAAACCATCTCTAAGGTTTACAGAGAATGGTCTGAAAAAAGGTTCTGTGGGCACAAATGCCTTGTTAATTCCAGAAGAGAATGGCAAGACTGGTTTGAGCTGATAGAAAGGCAACAGTAACTCAAATAACCACTCGTTACAACCGAGGCATGCTGAAGAGTATCTATGAACACACAACACGTCCAACCTTGAGCTGGATGGGCTACAGCAGCAGAAGACCACACCGGGTGCCACTCCTGTCAGCTAAGAACAGGAAACTGAGGCTGTAACTCGCACAGGCTCACCAAAATTGGACAATATAAGATTGAAAAAACATTGCCTGGTCTGATGAGGCCTGATTTCTGCTGCGACGTTCGGGTGGTAGAGTCAGAATTTGGCATTAAAAACATGAAAGCATGGATCCTTTCTGTCTTGTATCAATGGTTCAAATACATTTTCTTGGCAAACTGGCCACATTAGTATCAACTGAGCATCGTGTCAACACCACAGTCTACCTGAGTATTGTTGCTGATTATCCATCCCTTTATGACCACAGTGTAACCATCTTCTAATGGCTACTTCCAGCAGGAAAATAATCTCAAAATTACCAGATCTCAATCCAATAGAGCACCTTTAGGATGTGGTGGAACTGGAGATTCACATTATGGATGTGCAGATGACAAGTCTGCAGCAACCGCATGATGCTATCTTGTCACTATAAACCAAAATCTCAGAGAAATATTTCCAGTACCTTGTTGAATCTATGCCATGAAGGATGAAGGCAGCTCTGAAAGCAAAAGGGGGTCCAGTAAGGTGTACCTAATAAAGTGGCTTTATGAGTGTATTTATGTAAAATGAAGTCATTTGTCTCTATTTGCTGAATGAAATATTTGTTTTTTGGTACAGTAATGGACATTAAAACAGACGTAAGGTCAGCTGGTGCTCTGCTGGATCAGTTTTATGAAAAAAGAAGACTTCTTGTTGTATCTACACCAGATAATGGTAACCAGAAATACAGGCTTCAGAACATGATGCTGCAGGTACTACAGACACACTATTGAAACAAATCTTCATAAGAAAGAAGTATTTTTGCTGGAAAACTTCACAAGTGTGTGTTTGTGGGAATGTTGTTACAGAAGGCTGGTTGTGGTCTAGATCTGCGTCATGTGACTGTGATCGAGCTGTTAGGAAGTCCTCCTCGAGCAGTGGGCCGCATTAAAGAACAGCGTCTACAGCCTGAGGTTATCGAGGATCTTAGGTAACTTACTAAATATCTACAGTTGTGGTTATATGTATTTAAATTAGGGTTGGGCATCTAAGCTATAATGCCGATCCGATACGCATCTCGATACAAAGAATACGATCCGATATATTAGCGATACATTTGTGACATATTGCGATGCAACACGATACGATTCACACCCATATCACGATACGATGCGATATTTCAGCACTAACTTATTAGATCAAGTTTATGAGATGATGTGAAAGAGGATGCTGTGCCATTGAATGAGTTTGATTATTTATTAACCAAGCAAAACCAAGACTTTTTTACAAACTGGCTCTTCTCTCAGAGCCAGAGTGTCAGTTTACAGTAGAGGGCCATTTTAGAACATATAGCACATATTATTTAAGTATTTTCAAGATAAACAGAATGTATAAGTGCAATAAATATTAAAATATATATATTTGCACTCTTTCAACATAAATAAATTTAGCATTGCACAACAAGAATTGTGATTTAACTTTTCAACTATGAAAACAAGTTTTACAAAGATATATTTTGCCACTGATTATTCAAAACTTATGGTTGTGAACTAGCAGTGTTATGCTGCTTTGAAACATCACTGTCACTGTAAACAACAGGCTAATAAAAATATAACAAACCAGCAATCTTCTTGCTGTGAGGTGGTCAAACTACCCACTGTGCCACCGTGACACCCAATTATTTTTATCATTATTATTATTAATATTATTATTATTATTATTATTAAATAAAAATTAACAGGAGGAGGTGTTTAAAACCTTCGTTCTCCGTGACACTAGGCTGAATATCTTTGCAGATGAACAATGCAATAGCATTCGTTATTGGCGTAGAGCGAGCAGAACTGTTGCGCATGGAAAAAAAACTTTCAATGCTTTTCTCACCACTTTTGGAGCTGGTTGAAGCAGTGCGAAAGCCGGCGATGCAGAAACACTGGAAGATGCTTTCACAACAACACCGTGGCGCCGCTTCAAGTAAGATATCAGATTAGTCGTACTGCCCGCGTATTTTACAGATGCGCGGCACATTTTGCAAATTGCATCTGTCCTGTCATGTCGTCCATCCTTAAATCCATAATGTTGCTTGCCATACTTTAGATTTAAAACTCAGTGGGGAATAAAATGTTTGTTTTGCTTCTCGCGCTTTCTGAGGGCGCTCCACTAGCTTCATCCGCACACCTGATACACTGAGTTGTAGTGTGAGTGTACACATCCGCAAATCCGTTGCTAAGGCTTACTTTATGTAGGTCGATTAAATTATGCGCCAAAAACAGGTTGACAACACTTGTTAATAAATAAAAAAATACATTCTATATTAAAAATAAAAGCTGTATCTCGGAAAAATCGATGCATCTCGCAAAAACCGATGCATCTCGATTTGCTTCCAAAATTTCATTCATCCTCTGCTGCTCTACCGATGCACTCGCATCGTGCACGCGCATGACCGCGTATCGATACATATCGATTAATCTTCCCATCCCTAATTTAAATGCTGTTGATGATGTTCTTGAAATGAATTTTTTGCACTTTGTTTTGATGTTCATGTTGATCAATGTGTAAATTGTGGCTTCATCATTATCAAACTTTGCACAATCACTAGAAAAAAAAGAACCACAAATGATCATTGCTAGTAGGAACAACAAATTTTCAAGTAAACTGGCATCTAGATTTCTTCGCTGTTCTGGTAGAGACATACTGACCAGTATAATTTTTATTCAGGACCAGGCCTTATTTTAATAAAAGCCACACGAGAGTCTTGGACAAAATATTTTGCAAAGAATTTTTCCACCACAGCAGCTATGTTTCCATCCATGTTTTATTTAGGAGAGGAGAACAATTCCATTTACACCATTTAAAAATAGCAGTATTTCTGGTGGAAATAGTAGCAAATATATTGGCACCTCAGTATTGTAGTGAGAAACAATATAAAACTATTAATAATACTATATTGAGTGTAAATGACAATTTATTAAATGGATGCTGCCTTTATAGGGACTTACAACTTTTCTACTGGTTGTCCGAACCTCTGTTTTTATTATCAATTCAAGAGTTCACACTTAGCTGATGATTTATAAAAGCTTGTTTGGCATGCTGTCCCGGGAGAGAGCCCCGAGCTCAAGGGATCCTCGAGCCCGGGGCTTCTTCTCGTTGGCAGAGCGAGAGGGGAGCCTGAGCTCGTTGGATCTCAGAACTCCCGTGCTGCGGTAGCTAAGGGAACAAAAGGGGTTAGACAAATGATTGATTGTTATGCATGTTGAATGTCTTTGGATGGTGGGAGGAAACCGGAGAACCCGGGGAAAACCCACGCGGACACGGGGAGAACATACAAACTCTTCACAGAAACGGCCGCCGGCCTGGTGGGACCAGGGCCGGCAGTGTTCTTGCTGTGGGGCTCACAGTGCTAACCACTGGGCCGCCGTGCCGCCCGATCTGAGGTAAAGGAGGAGAATAGGGGAGGAAGGGGGTTTCTTCCAAACGAAGAGAAAATGGACTGAAAACTGTGGTTATTTATAGTAGCTTAGGGCTCATATGATTGGAAGATAGTGATTAGCAAATACGAGACCGGCTGTGATAAATCATAAGCACATGATCCTCTCGAAATTAGTTTATGAATAAACTTCACTTATTTGCACCAGTTTCTGAGGAAGCAACTTTTTTTTTTCTTTTGGACACATACGATCTATCCGTCATTTACTTGCAAAATATTAGTGACATCCCAATTATCTGTATTATTTAAAGTGATCATTCATCAATAATCAAGATTTAATCAGCCGGTTCAAACCATTTAAACTGTCAGTGACATTTTTTTTTTCTTTAACAAGAATGTGACTTTACATTTACAACTCCGTGGACCCTTAAAGTCTTAAATACCTTACTATAAAAATAAGGCCTAATCAGTCTTAAATTCTCATTTACAAATTTAATAGATCCAACCCTGTAAAGAAGATTTTGTTTGCATTTTGAAATCCATTTCAAAATCTTTGTCTATCATCACGCAGAACAACTTAGGCAGAACCAAAGTCAGTTTATAGTCTTTTGCGCAAACTAGCAAAATACACGCTTACTGGGATTTTGACAATTGATGTTTATGGGGATTTTACAGTATAATGGCTTATAATAGCTGCGTCAACCTTATTCATTCATTTATTCATTTTCTTTTCGGCTAAAGTCCCTTTATTAATCTGGGGTCACCACGACGGAATGAACCGCCAACTTATCCAACATATGTTTTACGCAATGGATGCCCTTCCAGCTGCAACCCATCACTGGGAAACATCCATACACATTCACAAACATACAATACGGACAACTCAGCCTAACCAATTCACCTGTAGTGCATGTCTCTAGACTTGTGGGTGAAACCGAAGCACCCAGAGGAAACCCACGCGAACACGGGGAGAACATGCAAACTCTTCACAGAAACACCAATTGACCCAGCCCGGGCTCAAACCAGCGACCTTCTTGCTGTGAGGCGATTGTGCTACCCACTGCACCACCGTGCTGCCAGCTGCGTCAACCTGACATTGACAAATAAAGAACTAGCGAACACAGAGTCTGACGTTTTTTTCACATGACCAGCTTGATCAGTAACCAGCTCGCAGTGTTGGCATAGAGACGCCCGCAGACATTGGTGCAGAACTTTTTCCAAAGTGACACTATAGTAACACGATAAGTTAAATGCCTTAAAATGTAAACAAAGCTATAATAAATGTTTTTTTTTTCTTTCAGGCTTTTAAAATGTATAATGTAATGTATTTTTTATTTAATGCCATGTCAGCAACCAAGGCTATTTTCATGGCAGGAATCTTTCAACAATAAATATACAATTTAAAAATCAACAAACAAAATGAAACATAAATTAAATAAGATTGTGTTAATACATGATAAAAATTCTAAAATCTTTTCTGGTTTCACTTTGTTAAAAATGTCCTTAAAAGAGTTAATTTCATAAAGTCTTCTGGAATCAGTAAAAGCAGGACAGTCCAGTAAAATGTGTTTTATAGTAAGATGAGTTTTGCAGCACAAACACTGAGTAGGGTTTTCACCTTGGAGCAAAAAACCATGTGTTATTCTCATATGCCCAATACCACATCTGGTAAAAACTACTTGATCAAATCGATTGTTAAAATGTCTTAAAATTCTGTGTGAAATTTCAGGTTGGATTTCATATAATTTATTGTTTTCTAATGCAACCCATTCCTTTTGCCACTTGTTTAAAATGTAAGCGTTTATAAAAGGTTTCATCTCTGATGGAGGGATTTGGCATTTGTTCACTACTTGCTTCAAAGCATCTTTAGCAGCTGCATCAGCTCGCTCATTGCCTGAAAGTCTGACATGTCCTGCAACCCAGCAGAAAATGATGTGATAAAACTGATTTTGTAGTTGGTGAAGATTTCATAACTTGGAGGCATGATTTAGAGTCTGTAAAAATAATAGATTTCTTTTGTTGGGCATTTTCTATATACTCCCATGGTAAAAGTAAAGCGCGGGCTTCGGCTTTTAAAATGATGTGTGATAAAAAAAAAACTAAAAATTCTGGTAATTTAAAGAAAGAAAACATCAGTCGTGTCAACAAAGTTGTCAGCAAACAAGTGTCTATAAAAGAATAATAAAGCTATACATATACAATATTGTTATTTTTAATAATGGGCATGTTATTGATATTGGAAAATTATGCTTTGTCAGTGTTGTTAATGCAGTTTGGTTTGATTTATTTACACTTTATAAGTATTATTAACAGTGTTAAGAATGGTCTTTAGTCCTCCTTTTTTTCTGTAAATTCTGTACCATAAAATCTGACTTAAATTTCATTCTGTGTGGTATCAAAAATTCTTAAATATAACTCTTAGCAACCTACACACTCAGAATGGAAACACAGCTAGTGCTTTTATGCTGAAGGAAATCATTTTGCTGATGCACTCCTCTATGCACGTGTGTTTCCAATCTAATGTATGTCTGCATGTGTTATTTGTTTGTCTGTAACAGACAGGCGCTGCATATCTCTATGGCATATTTCACCATGGTTCTTCTGGATGATTATGGTGTGGATCGAGAGCGTTTTGTTAACCCTACCAACTCCGAAGAGCTTTTTTCCTACGTAGACGAATTTCTGCTCACAGAGGAGGAGCGAGAGAGACTGGAGATGAACGGGGACTTCTGTGAATGAGCAACTAAAAATGTTCATCAATTGGTCAACAGGTCATCTACATACCTCAAGATTCTCCTGAATAACTACACATTTGAGGTACTATTATCAGAGAATCACAGCTGGAAATGTGATTTGGAACAGGTTTTAATCTGCCAGTGGAAAACTGCCAGATGAGGTTGCAAAAGATACATATTCTAAAGAAAATATTTCCAACTAGGGCTGGGCGATACAGGAAGAAATCATCACGATATAATTTTTAATACGATTCGGTATCAATAATTATAGAATAATTTTTACAATCTTATTAGGAATATTAGAATTTTTTTTATTTAACTATTTTATTTCAATTTATCAACATTACTAAAGGCTAATAGTTTTAATAGTCAAAAATAAAAAATAAACAAAAATATCTCGTCTCTTATGGCTCATAATAAAATAAGTGCTAAAGAAACTCAAATTTAATAAATAAATTGATACAAAGTGTGTGCAATGATAAAGCATAAACGCTGAACAATCAAAGAAAACTTTAAGGTTGATCAACACCTGTAAGGTGTCTGTAATAATAATCACACAGTAAACCACAAACTCTATTAACAAAACAAATTATGATAATCAAAGCTTTTAAGTACAGTACCAGACATCATTATTCAAATACATATTGCAACATTACGAATTGTAAAGTTGAATGACTACATTACCCCTATGCTAAAAACTCTTTCAGAAGGGGATTCTAGTGGCTGGGAAGCACAAGAAAAGAAACCAAAAAGCCACTCTGGTGACATCCTTTTTCTCTTTACTGCTGCTTGTCACGGCACTCATTTTCTCGAGTGTTGTTGTTCTGACCTGAGGTGGCGAAACTCAACCGCAGTCTGTTCATATGTCGGGTCTAAAAGCATGTGAAAAGCGTAAGCACCTGGATTCCTTTATTTTCAATGAGCTTTGTGCTCAAGCACCTCTGGCATCTCTCTTAACTAGGTGGACATAAACCATTTTCTTAGAGGATGACAAACGAACAAACCATTGCTGCGGTTCTAATCTTAATTTGTATTTATTAAGAGAATGTAAAAGCACTGCAGTGTTTGGGTTCTCCGAGTCAGCAATTATTACCGAATATGTATATTGCATACAAAGTTTGAAGCAGATTGATTAGTTCTACTTACATGAATCACGGTGCGCACATGGCATTCTGAATTGCTTTCAACTAGGTGTGCTTGGAAAATGCGTGGCGTGGCGTCACGTGCCTGCCTTGATTGGAAATAACCCATAAGCTTATTGCCATTCCTTCCAAGGCGCGTGCCCAGCAGACACATTTTAATAAAACTATATCGCTTCATACCGAAACTTCATACTGAACCTTTTTTTTTTTTTTAATTGTAATTGACAATGGTGTTCAGTCAATAAATATCGATCCCATATTATCCACCCAGTCCTATTACTAACCATCTATATTCAAGTGCACAGCACATTGTGTGAATTCTTAAAAATATTTAATATTTATTAAAATGGTATTTTCAATAAGGCGCTTACAATGGAGTACATCAGCTTTATGACATGACAATACATTGTGGTTAAATATGTCAAAGATTCTGAGCTATACATCACATTTAAACTGAACTAAAATATTTTTAAGAACATCATTAGAATGATGATGTACCTGAAAACAACAATTCTGATACAACATTTATGGGAAATAAATAAAATTCAGATACACACACTTCACTTTTTCATTTCATTATTTTTAAACCATCTGAAATGCTTCAAATATAAAATCTCTAAAAACTCTTGAATTCTTTTTTTATACTGTGATGCATTAATGATCTTGTATTGCACAGCTGCAACAGAGCTACACATAAACGTTGTGGAATGTGTAACCCCCTGTCCTGATCATGATTTGGGAGGTGTTGCGCAATGTCCTTACTTGCCCTTTCCCATGGATGAGCGCAGGGGAAGAGTGCCCTCTGCCCAAGAGTCTGGGTACTGCATCATCTTTTTCCACAGCAAAATCTCCTCACCTGTAGAGTCGGCCATCCACTCCTCCTTTCCCTCCTTCACTGTCACTGCGCAGACATCAGTTTCAGATGACTTAATTTCAGCAAAGATGCATTAAAAGGATCACAAGTTGCATTTAAATTTCCAAAAAATATAAAGCTACACAATTGTGCAATTTACAGAGACCTATGATTTCGACTCAGCAACGCAAGAAGAAAGTTTAAAACCCGAACACAAGTAGTCGCAAGAGCCACATATAAAGGCATTTTTACACCAAGAGCACATGGTATTGCATTTTGGTTGACCAGTTGTGATCAGATATTTAAAGGGTTAGTTCACCCAAAAATGAAGCTTCTGTTATTAATTACACACTAATGTTGTTCTAATCACCTAGGACATAAATGAACTCTTTCATCATCCATAGACACCAATGCTCCTGAGACCTTCGAAGTCCAGAATAGGAACAAAACAAAATGTACAAACATTCCTTGTGACGTCAGTGGTTCAACTTTACTCATACAGTATGAAGTTCCAAGAACATTTTTGTGCGCCAAAAACATCTGTAAAAATACAAGTCACTAGCTATGTTTTCATCAAAAAATGCTAATTAAATTTATGTGCAAAACAGGAATATCGCATAAAAGACATGCAAATAAAGCAGCTTTTAAATCCAACGAGTCAAAGAGAACAAAATCTTCTTTCAGTCACTTCTTGATTAACTGGTGCCAAATATCAACAGTAAAAACGGAATTTGCTGTGTTAGTAATAGTTGCGTGAATCTTTTCTTCATTTAATAAATGACTTGCGCCTCATAAGACACACAATGCCGTTTTTGAATGCATATTAACACTAATACTGAGACCGTTAGGCATTTTAGAATGACCAAAACAACATTTCAGATGTTTTACATTGTGCCAGCTGCTTTTGTCTATTCACACACATTTTATCATCACATGATCTCTTATAGCAAAATCACATGACTTTTTTAATGCGCACAATCTAATTTGTTCGGTAAAAGTGTTTCCATCGTAGTTTATGAATATTTTTCTTACCAAATAAAGTTTCCTACTCGGTTGTGCATATGTTTTTATGCACATTTTCAAAATGAATGTGCATCTTTGCGTTTCCTTCAACCATTATTTTATGCACATATCCAAAATGAGCAAGAAACAGGTGGATGGAAACATGGCTAATGTCTTTCATTTCATTTCATAGTGCACATTTACTACAGACATTATGTTGCTTGTGTGTTGCACTGCTGACTCTAATAGCAATATGTCAGACTGCCTGCAGTAAATGTGCACCCTGATGACCTGATGTGGGAGAGAAGACATTGGCAAACAGTTTTTATTTTGTTTTTGGAGATTTGTATGATTACAGTTGAACCACTGAACCCATTTGGAAGGTTTTGTCAGTGTTTTTGGTTGCTCCTTATGAAAGATGAGGGAGCTCTCAGATTTAATCTAAAATATTTTCATTTGTGTTCTGAAGATGAATGAAGGACAGAGGATTGGAACGACATGATGTGGAGTAATTAATGACAGAACTGTCTGGGTGAACTAGCCCTTTAAAAATGTATGTTCACACAGGTGTAAACTCTTTATGTTCACACACAGATTGGTAAATTATGAGAGGGACAAAATGGGATCTTTCAACTGTCAGCCACTCATCCTCACTTTTATAAATCTTATCAGTTTAATTTAGAAAAAGCACATTTATTTGAAATCATCTGAGATGCAAACTATTACTTTTATATGCAATTCGTGTCTGAGGCACTTGCTGAATTTAGGGACCTAAACACTGTAAAGACCTCTAGCAAGCTTAAACGACAGCTGAAATTTTCAGAACTCACAACCATTTTTTTTTGTGAAGCCCATTTAATATTTTTGATATTTACTGACGCTGTGGTTAGAGGTGATGGTCACTTCTAGAAACTAGAAACAAGATGGACTTGACAACATCACGCCTCTATTGTAAGCTATTGTGTGTACAGGACATTTCGAGACTCATGGGAGAAGTAAATACAGTCAATTTCCATTACTGGATTAGTGAACTTATTCAAAGATGTCCTTACCTGCTCCCAAGCTGAGACGAACTCCTCCCAGGAAATCATTGCTGGACAGGGTCTCTCTGTCCCAGACAGTGAGCTCCAGACACATGTCCTTTAGCTCATCCAGACTCAGGTTGTTGTACACAAATGTGTGGTTGTAATTTGGGCTCTTTGTCTTTTTCACCACTGGAGTTTTCTTCTTGGAGGAGGACTTGCTCTTTGATGGCAGCAGATACCTGAGGGATAGAATGATTGGCAGAGGTATTAGTAGAAATACACAAACAAAAACTTTAGCGGAGGTGATGAAACAGATGTTTGCATACCCTTTCACAAATGAATCACATGTGCCTCCAGCTTTCAAGGCTGTCAGATTTTTGGCTTCTTTGATCAACACGTGTAACTCAGAACCATCAGCAGGTTTGCTCTTTTTCCCTATTAGACAAAAAGTACACAAAGTAAAAACCAGGCACACTCCTAAAAATACAGATTCTTACTAGTGATGCAACTTGAATCCACATTTTACTTCTTAACATGACAATATTTTGCAAGAGCATTTATAATCAATTATCTTAAGAACCTATTAAAATTATATATATATACACATACACACACACATACACACACACACACACACACACACACACACACACACACACACACACACACACAAAATAAATAAGGACTTACAAAAATAAATGTGCAATGGAAATTTTCCATGGATTTTAATGTTTTTGCATGTCAATGCATTAGTTCCTGCCTTCTTTTTTAGCAGTGCTGGTTCCAGTAGCTTAATTTATATCATTTTAATAATACAGGTTCATAATATATTTATTTTATGCACTATTTATGACATGATTACATCATTTGGAGTGCTTCATGTGAGCAAACAGAGTTAAACATGTTTGTCTTGCTTTACTCATACTCTGATTTGAGGAACTTTCTGGACAGCATCATGAACAAATTTGACTATTAAACATCTGTAAAATAAGTTAGTATGAACAGTTGAAATGGATTAACAACTGTTGAGGTTATAGCAGGCCTTTCTTTAAAGGTTTGCCAATTATTGCTTAAAATCAATGTCCTGTTGGGAATTTAAAGGGCACCTACGTTTGCGTGAACTTTGTAATGACTTTGTGTGTGACTCATCGTTGCAGAGAGGCTTGAATTAACTCCACAACAAATACATCAAATAATCATTGTGAAATTTCTTGCTGTAGTATTTCTCAAAAACGATGCACGAGATCTGCTTCCTTCATGTCTGTCACTGTGCTGTTTATCTGACACAGGGAGAGATTGAGGCACACTCTGACAGGCATGTGGGAACGGTGGGCGAGGAGAACCAGCATTAAATGCACAGGCCACATAAACAGCTACATAATGTTTACAGAAGTAAATTTCAAACTTCTGAAAGGTATAATAAATAATCTGATGGGGTTTTTGAGCTGAAACTTTTTGGAGACACAAAAGACTTATCTTAAATCTTGAAAAGGGGGTAAAATAGGTGAAATAAATCATCCAGAACCAGACTGCTGTGCTCCCTTAAGAATTCTTATTAAGTAGAGATTTTTTAATACATGTTTTTTTTTTTTTTCAGTTATTTCCCTTACCTTTCCCTTTAGAGTCCTCTGCATTTGGGGCATTTGGTGTAACGTACTTCAATGAAATGACCAGCTCTCCTTTGTACTGATCAAATGGAGATAATAATGACTGGGGTACTGCCTATGAACAAGAAAAAAAGAAGTAGAAGTATAAGATGAACAGAGTGATGTATTTCTGTGGAATCAGAAGAACCATATAAGTTGATTACCTTTCCTCTAAGGGCCATGCACTCTTCATGTGCAGAGTCAATATCATAGCTATCCATTAGAACCTCAACCTCACCCAGAAACGCATTGTGGCCAAATCGGTCGTAGTGCCAAACTGAGAGTTGAAGCGTGCGAGTCATCAGCTGGGTGCGGCTGATGGAATACTAAAGCAAACAAGCACAAGACAGCTTGTCATGATTAAATGTTTTTTTTTTTAAATTAAGATGTTGCCATGTAAGAGTTTAGTTTTATATTTTGTAAACTGCGCATGTTGTTTACTCTAGATTAACATGGGGTAAGCATAAGAAAGAACTAATATTTGTCTCGCTGTGACTCTGCGATAACAAGGTACTTATCTTGTGTGTCAATATAAAGCCCATTCAAAACCAGATGTTAAGTTTGCAGTGTTTTAATTACCTGCCATTAAAGCACAGTATATAGACTACATAGTGACTCAGCTGTAAAAGCTTTAGTTCATTTTCTAAGCTTGGAATGATAAAGACTTAAATGATAAAAGAGTTTAGCTTTGCTGTGGAATCAATGCATTTCATTAAAATACCTTCAGTGTTTCCTTAAAACTGGGATTGATGTTGTTATGTTTGATTGAGGTTTTCTTCTTGCTCTTGTCTGGAAGGAGGTAAGCCTTTACGTATCTGAGAAAAGAAATTAAGCAATCATAGGAGTTTAGCAGCCTTCTAAAGTGAGTGATTTCCCTTCTGTACTGGGGAAACGCAATGGTAGGATTCAGGGTGGAAAATTATTATTCTTGGAAGATGGTAAAGAACTGAGACCCTTTCAGGAAATCACTTGGAAATCACTCAGCGCAGGCTGTGTGGAGGCCCACTTACGGGTTGCACTTCTTTTTTGCTG